TGGGCCTCATTCTGCTCAACTAACAAACGCAGGCGTCCGAAGGCGAGGAGGCGTTCACTTCAAATCTCTCAGACACCAGATCGTTGCTTTTCCTGATTTAAAACAATTTGTCTGCCCATAGATGGAGATGCTAGACACGATGTTCCTGTTGTGTCCGTGTTCGACAGCCAAACTCCGCTCTCTTCCTCACGTCTGTTTTGGCCGGTGAGCTGCAGAAGCGTGAGGGAAATGTGTAGGTGGTGGTTAGATCAGCCGATGAAGTGTAAATACCACTCAATCTGTTCTCATTAGAGGAGTAAAAACATACGAATCACCTCGCCTCTATTAAAAATGCCCCTGGGTCCTGCTTAAATGTGTGTGTGTGCAGTGAGTGTGTGTGTGTGTGTGGGAAAGTGAGAGAGGGAAAAGGAGGGGGAGTTCTAAGAATGATGTTTTGGCATTTGTGTCTGCAGAGGGGATCTGAAATGCCACCACCATCAACGCCTCTTAATTCTCACAAACGCACTCTTAATCTGAACAGACAATCCGTTCCGACAGCCACTGTTATGATTCAAATCAACTCGGAGTGAAGGGTGTGTGTGTTCCCTTCTTTGAGTGAGAGTGTATGTCATTGTGTTTTGGTATGTGATTAGATGTCTTTGTGTGTGTGTGTGTGTGTGGGGGGGTGTACGACCAGGATATCACACACCCATCGCACATTCCCCGATGATAATGTGGATTGATTATGGATATGATAATGAGAGGCCGGCGTGCGTCGCGACCTTCACAAGGTCTAATTGAAACAAGCGTTGGTCCTCTGAAGCACTTATCAAGTCACACGGCACATCATTAATCACTGAGAATACAAGCTGTCACGTTAACTAACACACACACACACACACACAAAGAGAGAGAGAGAGAGAGAGAGACTTTTTTTGTTTTTCTAACATGCACACAATCATGTCTCTCCTGTCTTCATTCTCACACCCGATGTATCACACACACACACACACACACTCCCTCTCCCTCTCTTTCTCTCTCACACACACACACAATACAAGCTGTCACTACAATATGCCTGGCATTGTCTTCTTTTAAGTAGAGTGGACAGCTCCTCCACCCTCCATCTTTATCTCTTACAAAAAAGTTGAGGCACAAACAGAAAGAAGAAGAAGAAGAAGAAGAAGAAGATTTTTTTGGGGGATTTTTAAAATAACAGAAGTGTACAAACTGAAGAAGAAGAAGAAGAACGCAGAAACGGGAGAGGGAACGTTAAAACAATTTGACTAATATGAACAGCTGTTCACTGCACCCAAACTGGCCTGAAATTGAATTAGCTCAAGTTGTTTTACCAGCAGCTTTTATTAGGAGACAATTTAACAACCAAATGTGATTCCAATGTCTGATTAAGGCGACATATGGCCGCGTACCTGTTAAACACAACGGCTTCGATGCCGTCGCCTTGACGCCTCACTGAGCCACTGGAATAAACTAATAAGCCTAATGTCATATTAGTCATTACATAGTCCAACACACAAAATTCCAATCTGATAAAAAGGTGTTTCCATTATCACGACCAGGAAAAAACACAAGGGAGCCGGCACGTGCTGTGTGGATGCCACTGCAAACTTTGTTAATTGTTATTCAATTAAGTGCTTTTGTTAATGAAACCAATTAATGGCCTTAAAACAAGCAGGGAGATATATGATTATTATGCATCTATGCAGAAGACGGCTAATTACATCTGTAAATCAATCAATTCCGCATTAAGCTACTTGGAAAACATCCAAAAGCAACAAAGTCACCAAAAGACATTGGAAGTTTTTTTTTACCATATTTTGATTGCCATGCCATTATCCTGTGTAATGATTGTTAACGATCCTGTAAGGAGTTTATGATCCAATTTCCCTGCCGTGAATTTAATTTGAACCTTAAATAGTATAATCTTACAGTATAAAAGTACGGCCTATATTTAATCAAGGGTGTTTTAGAGTGAGCTCTAACAAGGTCACAAAACTCCTCTTAGGGCAGTTAGTAAACTGAAGTATCACATACCCCCCCCCACACACACACACTCACACACACACACAAGTGTAATAATGGCTAGACACGTCCAGTCATGTAGAGATGTGATTGTAAAGCTGATGATGTTTTTTATAAGAGAAGAGATTAAATAAGCGGCGATAATTTTTCCATCGTGACCGAAATGTGTTTCCACCTGGACTGGTGTCACCTGTGATAGATCTGACCAACCTGTTTACACACCGACAGCTGCATGTTGTCCAAACAGCATTTTTAAAAAAAGGTCAGCGACGTCCACTTCATAGCAAACACAACCTCAGGCCCTGATTGGTCCTGGTGATTTTGTGTTTTTATCAGCCACAGTTTTCTTTGTTCCAGGAGAAAACATTATGTCAAAAATGTCAGCATTTTAAACAAAATTCAGATGAGTTCTGAAGAAATAAAAATAATTTTTGAAAGCATTTTTCTTTGTTACAGGAGAAAACGTTATGTCGAAGTTTTGAAAAAATATTTTTTTTTTTTAGAAACTGCTTATTTTATTTTTATTATTTTTAATTTCCACATGACAACTGTAGAGTCAGTTGAGGCATCTTATTTTGAGAATTTGGCTGATAGAAATAAAGGATTCCCTTTGTCCATTTTTCTTAATAAATCAAGGTTGACATAAAAATTATTGACTGTTTTTTTCTGAAAACAAACTTTTTCAGGTTTTACGTTGCTGTTTCCAGTGTGTTTTAGTTTTTGTCCACAGTGGCCGGTGGGTTCATCCACACTGTTATTACCTTTCAGTTCATTTACATACACCTTTATCTCTTTTCATCCGTGTTGACTATTGATTGTGTGTTGATGTTGTTTTCTCGGGGCATTAATTTAGGTTTGAACAAACATCAACACGTCTTCTCTTAACATAAGAAAACTTCTAATCAGTCCAGTCTAATTATTTTTATAATATCCACCACAGGCTCCTCCATCATAATTGCAACACATGGATCTTTCACTTCCAAATGAGACTGCCCTCATTTATCAGCTGACCTGGATAATTATCAGACATACAAACATAAACACCCTCAGAAGTTCTGATGTGAGGACCTGCTTGCCTCTTAAGTTTATACAGTCATGTGACCTGACCAGCGCCCTAGTTGAACACCTCTTAGATGTTTATGCATATGTGGACACTAATCTCTCACTCAGGACTATGGGATTTGGGAATATTTTTGTTTTACCGAGATCAAAGTGGCCGCTTCGGATCAGGAGAAACCCATCACGCACATCAAACACGCAGCAATGCGTCCCGAATCTAACGCCCACAGTAGCCAATCAGGCCAGGCATAACTCTTTTCCTTTGTAAAAGAAAGAGGGTTTTTAATGTGGGTCTCCCACATCAACATCTGATGCAGCCCACCCCTCCCACTGAGGCCAAGGGGGTTGTTTAGGTTTATGGGCTACCGAGGGGAGACTCCACATTGTTCACGTTCACCTTTCATACTTGGCTGACATGACGCTGGTATTGAGGAACAGAGAGATGGTGTGTTCAGGAGATCAAAGCAGCAGTACAGAGACTCAGACTGGTGGGCTGTCAGTCAAGATGGTGAGACAAGCTGAAGACAGAAATGCTTACGCGTTTTTTTTTTCTTTCTGCGAGGGCTGAGGCGTTACTGTCAGACTGCTGGAGGCCTACTCATTTGTAGACATCCACAGGCGCTGTATGAACACCTAAACTCACACCCATAAAGGGACACACACACACACAACACATGATACTCACACAGACAGGCCTGAGTGGATGAGAGGTGGCTTCTGGATTTTTCTATTGGCCTGTGGAGGAATGTTGTGTGCTCTCAGCATTTTCTCTCGTCTACAAGATGAATTGAGTTATTTTACAGACAGTGGAAAAACACAACAATGCTGCTCTTGGATACATGATGTAGGGTGTTCATTTCTGGTTGATCAGAGATGGGCTTGTTTTTGTCACGTTTGCAATACAGCTGTTGGTTGATCAGAGATGGGCTTGTTTTTGACGTTTTCACGTTTGCAACACAGCTGTTTTTTTGGGAGATGAAATATAGTCTAACATGGCCATTCTGCTATAATAAATGGCCCATTTTTGCCACTTCTTTAGTGAAGTGTGATGGTCCAACTGAGACTGTATTGTATTAATATTTTATACAATAGGTAACTCATTTAAAATTCCATGTGTCAAGTGCTTTAGCATTCCTTAAATCTAACCATAATTATTTGTTATTAAATTAAATTTAATCAGTACCAGAAAAACTCACAAGACTGGAGGCATAACACAACAACACCATCTAGTGGCCATAGATTGTAACGTTTATTTTAAACTTTACTCCATCAGCGATGGTTAAATACCTGAATTTGCAAAAGTATTTTATAAGGCATGTTGAATCTGAATACACAAAATAATTTTAATAACCACTTACTAAAAAAACACATTAAATACATGATCACGTGAAAACTGTAATACATTTAGAAACTAAACCAATCAAAACATGATGGTGGCAAACAGTATGTATATGTATCATCATATGTGGAGATGACTTATGTGTGAGAAGAAGCCTTGGGATTTTACCACCTCAGAAAAAACCTTAGTGACAACTCAAAGCACAAAAAGTGCATAATGGTCACTGAAGTGACACAGAGGAAAGTTTGCCAACTAAGATGATTCTGATTGTAAGATGTGGAAGCCAAAGTTAGGACAGCTACCGAAACAGGATGTGACATCATCAGTTTGTGGTGTTTTCAGACGCCTGAAAAAAAGAAACAAATGTAAATAATACTAGTAAAAATCTTCACCTTTCTGGTAAAAATCAGACTTAGATTTAGACTCTTTAAAATCAGAAAAACCAACTACAAGCACCCTTTTTGCAATAAAATCTTAATGTCAGTTTCTTCAACCATATACTGAAATAGTGCTTCGTGTACAAAAAAAATTACATCTTTTTCAGATCTATAGATTTAGGATCTGTTCCCAAAAGGATGAGATAATCCTCCCTTATCAGACACCATGCCTCTAATGTGACACATTCACAGAAGTCTATTTGTTACCTTGAGGGACTCAGAAGCTTTTCGTAGCTCCTTGATGACAGCAGAAAGGGCCTCTGGATTGATACCTTGCTCGCACAGTCTCACACATATTGACAAAGACTCCATGTCCAGACCAGTATTTAACAACCTGGAAATCTCCAGCAGCACTGAAATAAAACAAATGATGATGAACGAATGAAGTATGTAAACGGACAACAGCAGCACTGAAATAAAACAAATGATGGGTTAAGTATGTAAACGGACAGTTGTACGGCGAGCAAAGCCGTTAACTATCATTACGTAAGCAATATAATTAAACCATATGGCCCGCATATCTATATTAAAAAAAAACATTACCGTCCATTGTCTCTCGGACTGCATTCAGATTATTTACATTTGCCGCACTTGCCATGTTTTGATTCAGAACGGTTAGCAGAAGCTAGTTAGCAACTGGCTATCAAATATTATACAAGGGAGACTTTAACGCGAAACAAAGCAGAATTCTTTTTTAAATTTCCTCCAGGGACAAATAAACATTTGATTATATCTTAATGCAAGAATTCCAAATATTATGTTTTATAAAAAGATCAACGTTAATAACAATTCGGCCATTTCTTTTGATAAACTTGCGGACCGGAAGCTGGAAGTGACGCCACACATTTTTTCATTGGCTTCTAACAACTTCCGGCGACATTTCTATTGGCTGGGGGAACCACTGAGGTAAAATTGAAATCAGCGTTGCGTAGGCTCAATATCTCTGGTACCTTTTCTTCCGATTCTTACATAAATGTTGTGATTCGTTGTGTTCCTTCAACCCGAACTAATTAATAACATGTAAGTACAAGAGACGAGATGTAATTATGCTGTATTTATGTTTAAATATCGCTACTATCGCTTGTTTAACACTCACGTATTGCTATTTTGCTCTCATGAACCAAGGGAAGCACAAACCTTGATCTATTCATGTTGTCTTTCGAAAGTTTAATCAACTTTTGTTGCTGAAACTTTCTCTTCTTTGTTTTTAGCTGCGATGGGGGATCATGTTGATCTACAGATCGATCCAGAAACTCCAGGCAGACCCTCTATTAGAAATCCATTTGAAAGTCCTAATGACTACCACCGCCTCCACGAACCCCTGGTGCCAAGTCCATCTGTGTTCAAGTCCAAAGCTGTACGTTTAAACAAACAACAAATAACATATTTGTCTGTACACCCAAATTGTTGATTACAAATGTTTATCTGTTTTATTCTGCCCTCAGACTCCAGCCAAGTTTAACTGGTCCATTGATGAAATGGCCAGTCTTCTCCCAGCAAACATCGACCCAGAGGAAATTCAGCGACAGTCTTTTTACCTCAGCCAAACCAGGCATGTAGTCCAATGTAGTCTAAAATGAAATCAAATGGTTAACACACAACTCTTTATGATTAAATATGATGCACATTTAAATGTGAAACTTTTTCTTAACCCTTAGGATGGATTCTGATATGGAGGAGAAGTATCAGAGAGCCATTGAGCAGGTAAAGGATCTAGTGAAACAAATATGAAATTTTACATATCTTAACACAAATAATAATAAATAATGATGGTAATTGGTTAATATGTTGTTCTGTCATTTCTTTTCAATGCAGTTCTTTACCAAAGGAGCCATAGTGCCATCGCCCTGGGCAGCACCAGACACTCGCAGAGTTCCTCAGATATTTAAGAAAGGTAATAGAACTTGTCATCACCTTAAAGATATTAGCTTAGCTTTCTGTTATATTTTTTAAATGTAATCATTATATATTTTATTTCAGAGATTCCAGAGAAGCAGGAAAAAATCTCAGGTTGGTTTGTGTTAAGACTTTACAGTCTGGGCGGTGTTGTTTCTCTATGTCCATTTTCTAATACTTCATATTTTCTCTAACCTTTCACCTACAGTTGCTTGTCAGACGACACTTTCGTTACCTCTGGCTTTTGATTTAGAGAAGTTACTAGGTAAGTGGTAAACAGATATCAATGTGCAGTCATTGTGTTCTTTTACAAAATCATTGTATTTAGAAGTTCCTTATCTTTCCTCAGGTGAATACTACAGCTCACAGGAACAATGTGATGCCGTGCAGGAAAATCTCAGTTCTTCTTCATTGAGGCGAAAGTTATTTCTGGACGGTAACAGTAACAGTGGCTCAGACAGTTCCAGCCCACCGAGCCCAGAGCGGAGCCACTGCACGTTGGAGGTATATTCTCAAGAAGGAGTAAGAAGAAATTCAGGAGGAGCTGAACTTACTGCAGGAGGAGGAGAAGCCATGACACCAATGTTTGCCTCCCCTGTATCTTGTGGTGTGTCGGCTCCTACTCCCTCCACGGTGAGTGTTGTGTGAAGATCAAGATAAATCATGATAGCTTGGATTCTGTGTGTCAAACGAGAGGCCAAACAGACCTGTTTTTGAGCAGCTTGTTGTATAAATATGTCCATTAAAATTATGTGATTCCTTTTTTTCCTTTTGTCTTAAATCTAGGGTCAGTTTTCCTCCAGCCCCATTCAACACGGCCGCTTTCGGGACTGTAGCCTTGGCAGCATCAGTAGCCCTTTTGTACCCAACGGCTCGTCTCCTGCAGGCTTTGCCTCCCCCACGATTTCTCCTATTTTTGCACATACGGCACGCACACCCATGAGCTCAGGCAAGCTTTTTTATTCATGATTCCTACCAAATTGCACATAGATTAAAATCTGTTAAAGCGGCCAATATTTATCTCACCGTAACCCTGTCTTTTCTACAGCTGAGAGGAGGCAGCCGAGCCATTTGACTCCACACAGTGTTTGTTTGGATGTAGGTGTCACGGCCTGCAGTGAGAGCCCCTTCGTCGAAGGTTGCTCTCCCATTCGTAGCTGCTCTCCTCATCATTTGTGCTGCAACAGTGAGCTACATCATCTTCTTAAAAACCAGGTCAGGGTTCGTTGCTGGGCCTCTCCTCCTCTCATCTCTCCCATCCTCAATCCTAAGCTTCAAGACCATCACGAGTTTGACGACAATCATCCTTCCTCCTCTTCCTCTCTCCTATCAATTGAGCTTGACACATTGTCCCCCGTGGTCAAAGACACTAATTTAGTGGATGCTGAGAAGTTACGCACAGGTCCCGATGACCCTGTGAAAATGCAAGAAGGTAAAGATACCGGGCTAGAGGTGGAGCTGGAGGATGAGGAGGAGGAAGGAAGAAGGCTCTCAGAGCAGCTGACCAGTTCCCGTATGGTCAGTATGTCGACAACGGAGAGCTCTCACATGTTCGTATCTCTTCTGGCAGAGGGAAGCAGCATACGCTACGAGTCCAGCATGCAGGTGTGGAACGTTGTCATCTACTGGGTTTTGTTTTACTGTATGATAACCTCTCTTTGGCTTTACTTCCCCTTTAATCCTCTCTCTGTGTTCATTTTTGTCATGATTCTTGTGCTTGTTCAGGTGGACAGTGGCTACAACACTACCTCAGCAGGCATCACCAGTCTCACTGATGGCCTGAGCTCACACTGTCACAGCAAGGAGTCGTTCAGCACAAACCTGACTGAGGAGGCACATTCCCTCACTAGACACACTAAGAAGAAGGTACTGGTCGCTGTAATGATCTTTTACACCAGTGTTAACAACCTTTTTTGAGCCACGGCACACACAGAAAACGTCACAAAAATATGATTTTTTTTTTGTTTAAATGTACTCAATTTACTTACTCTGAAACCTGGGCCTGTTTAGTTGAACAAAATGTTGATAAGACACGAAAGAAAATTAAGATATTGTATTAATCTGACTTTTTCTTTTTGTTTTTCCAGGTATTTCATCCCCATCACTCGAGCTTGTGTGCATTTAAAAATGGAAACCTCCCACTTTAATCATTGTACTAAATGTGTACCACGCCGACTTGAACTTGTTAAATTCAGAACAAAGGTTAAATGAATTATGAACAGCGCTGATTTGATTCACCAGTGACCTTAACTCTTTTTTTTAAGTTAAGTTCTAATTTGTTTTGTTTTTAAGATTGCTTGACTGAAGCAGAGGCTTTACCACTTTTTTTATTAACCACCTGTTTGTAAAAGAGAAGAATCTTAGGCATTAAATGAAATACTTGACACAACAAACCAATGCAGTCAGATGGGAAATTATCTCTAACTTGCACAGTGTCCTTCTCTTCTCTTTAAATGCTGTAATGATGCTGGTGTCATGTGATGTCATGTGTATTTTGGTGCTGATGTGGATCCTAATTTTCAGACTACATCTGGTTTTGTACTGTATTTTTAATAACATTTTTAACAACACTTTGAATGATTTGGAGTTAAACTCAGGATGTAGATCTCATTTGGACTGTTTGAATATTTATTTTCAATGATGCCACTTGTGAATTAAAGCAGTCTGAGCCACTTTGTCTGTTTGCTATATTGCAGTATGAATTGATGTTCCATTAAACCAACATATCTTGAGTTTTTTTCCCTTGCTTTGGTGAGTTCATGCTACAAAATTATGATTGACAAAAAGAATATGCTACTTAAAATCTAAAGACAATGAGATATGGTCACAGTCCTATGTGGGATTACGTCATGAGAGGAAAGGGACAACAATCGTGTACTAACATGACATACACTGTTAGTGTACAAATATTTTTACCACTGGGCAACAAAACCACCAATTCTTTTTTAAAAAGCACTTTAATGTCAGCGCATTTACAGTATGTTTATCCATCTTTATATATTGACAATCATACTAAAGTATGGTATGAGTTCATACTATAAAAAAGGCCACTGGTCAAATGTTGTCAATGCATGAAAACAAAACTTTTGTGTAGATTCTATAAAAGAAAATTAAAAAAACATCTGCATTCTGTATTATCAACGATCAAGTTTCGGTTTCTTGGCCTGTGGTTCAACGTCCGGTGGTGGGACACTGACACCAGGGATCTGAGAGAAGAAAATGCATCATATATGAATGTGTGTTTAAATATATATGGATGTCAATTCTTATTAGTTGTAAACTACTGAAACTGCAGTGCAGTTTATTCAGTCTTACCACAGGGTCGGTCAGAGCCATGCGGATCTTCTGGTGCTGAATGTTGGTGTCGTCCAGGCTGACCGTCACCTTCACTTTGTCAAATATGTGAAAAGTGTGCTGCTCTACCTTAGGAGTTGGGCCCTACACACACACACACACAACACATTTATAAACATGTCAAAGGTGAACCAAATAAATACCAAAAAAGAAATTACTAAAATATAAACTGTACCTCTTCATCAAAGACGAGGTTCGGGTTGTTTTTGTCTTTTCTGTCAAAGAACACGGTTCCTTCCAATCCGAACTTTGGGATGAGTACGATGATCGCATTTTTCCTCACGAACAGAACGTATCCCTCTTCGTTAATGATTCCTCGGCTCTTAAAGAACAACTGCAACAAAACGTATTTGGATTAAAACCCTGATTTCCAGGCAAACATTATATAGAATGTGCTACATTACACTGGAAAGTAGTGTGTGTGTGTGTGTGTGTGTGTTAACCTGTGTGTGGAACGCCACTGATGCCCTCTGTGCATACTGAGCCATCTTATGTCTGTAATTGAGGTTGTTGCACAGAGCTGACTGCTTATGTTTGTCCATCAGATCGGGGTAAGTGCTGTCTGCTCCTATGGCCACGGCCAGCAGGCGGTGCACTATTATATCTGAATACCTGTGTTAGAAAGCCAGGGAAAAACACATCTTTAGACTAAAACTGCAGAAAAGGTCAAACACTATTAAAGGTATGCAGTGAAATACAGTTTTCACATTACCTCCTAATGGGTGAGGTAAAATGTGTATAAATGGACGATGCAAGTCCATAGTGGTGGAAGTCGCTGTCCATGCCCGAGCAAAAATATACGGCCTGCATCATGCAGCGGGTGGCTAGTATGCGCAGCAGCGTGTTAAAGTAGGGGAAGTGGTCCACTCTGGCCATGTCCAGAGAGTCGGCCAGTGCTTTAGCTGAGTCTGTGTGGATCTCCACGTTCTGAAAAGACTATTGTTACAATTATATATATATATATATTTATTATAACTATTTATTTATATATATAAATAACCAAACTAAACCCTTTGCCATGGAACCCTTGTCCTCCACTCACCTTGGACTTTGCAGCTTTGAGCAGAATCTCATAGTTTGATGGAGGAGGTGCAGGGTGTTTCCTCAGCAGGGCACACTCTGAAAACTCATCATAAATCTTCTGGGCCACAGAAATGTTGGCCAGTAACATGAACTCCTCCACCATGGAGTTTGTCTCCCTAAATTCAAGATGTTTTTTAAGTCAATCCAACATCACAGATTTTTTTTTTTAAGTTAAAGTCAGTCCAACATCACAGAGGTTCAGTGAAATTAGGTATAGAAACAACATCAGAAAAAACAATAGATTTAAAGGCACCTACATGAGTTCTTTGGTCTGGAGGTCAATAGGGTCATGGGTTTCACTGTCAATGTGAAAACGCACTTCCAAAGACGACAGTGTCAGAGCGCTGTAGGACATCAGATACAACAAACATACACAATTATACACAATGTTTGACGACAAAAATGATCTGTCTGTCTGTGAGTGAGAGAGAGAGAGAGAGAGAGAAATTGGGTCTTCTGTGTTTCTCTTGTTCCTCACCCTTTCTCTATCCTCCCCCTTTTAAGGATTTTAGCCAGTTTGTTCAGGCCTCGCAGGCTCTTTGTGATGTCATCGTTTTTGTTGACATCATCGATTCTCATCTGGGCCTCAGCGTAGGTCAGAGACGCCTGAAACAAGATTAAGGAGAAAAGAGAAATTTAGAAAAAGAACCACCTGAACGTCACAATAGTTTTGTGGTTTTCTTGTATCTGGAGCTGAGTGAATGCATGTTGTTGGTGTCGGTACCTTAGAGTTAATGACACTTTTTGTGAATCTCGTCTTTAGGATTTTAGCTTCATGGTTCATCTCCCAGATACATGAGAAAGCGAATCTATGGGTAGACGAGACAAAAAGTTACAGAATCCATACTCACATTAGACACACGGTACATTTGTCATGTTTATGGTTAAGGTGAGGACGAGGGGTCAGGGAACGCATAATGTCCACTTCAAGTCCTCACAACTCATGAATACCAGGCTCTGTGTGTGTGTGTGTGTGTGTGTGTTTCAGTCCTCACCTCTCTACGTTAGAGCGCAGAGAACAGAGATTAGAGCTGAGCAGCTCAGGAACCATGTCTATTCTCTGGAGGAGGAAACAAAAACAAAAGTATTTTTAATTTCACACTGTTCCACAGGTTTCCTTCAGCTTTGTTTGCTGGTTCTACTACACATTTTCAACAGTAAAAACTTTTGTTTGCTGGTTCTACTACACATTTTTAACAGGGGGCAGACGTCAAGTTCTGCAGCATGTGTGTCCGTCTGTGTCACCATCTCATCACCTTGCCACACATGTAGACAGTGGTTCCACGGTTGGCAGCCTCTTTGTCCAGAGCATTTCCTGGTCTGATGAAATGACTGACATCAGCGATGTGGACTCCAACCTACAGCACAGAAATAATCCCAGGAGATGAAATTAAGTCGTCAATATTTTCACTACAGCTATTGTAGGTGTGAACATGTGGACGTTATGTAATATACCTCAAGGTTTCCATTTTCCAGCTCTCTGCAGTGCAGGGCATCATCTATATCTGTACATCCTGGAGGATCCACGCTGCACACAGTCAGTTGTCTCAGGTCTTCTCTCTTGGCCAGGTCCTGAATCACAGATTAAATACTTCTTATACTCCACATACACTCATCTACATGTCCAGGAGCTGGGTGTGTGCCGTTACCTCTTTGGTGATGGCCCACGGCAACTTGGGAAGAAAACTAAGCACGGCTTGAGAGAAAGCCTGGTGAGGGACGTCATGCTCAAGGAGCAGCACCTCCTCCTCTGTCTCCTTCTCCCCTGCTCCTCCCAGGCTGCGCACAAAGTGACCCTAATATAGAGCAACCAGGGTTTTCACTAAGTCAAAAAACTGCATGTTTTTCTTTCTAGTTATTCAGTAGAAAACCCTACATTTGGATATCTGGAGTCTTTGGGCCAGCCATCAATCGCCACCATGATCCTGTTCCCCACCAGACTCGATGCCTGACGGGTTTCAATGCGAATGCGTGGGATACGTCGGTCTGCCGGGGTGAAGAGATGGCGAGTGGACTGCACGTCAGACAAAAGACAAGGTCAGCGCCCCAGGGGAAGAAAATGACAGACAGATTCAACGCGCTGTGCATTTTTAAGTCCTTTGTCTACAACACTTGACAAATAAAACCTGATTTTACTCAATCCTATCAACCAGTTGAGAAAACAATTTTAAAAGGCAAAGCAAACTTTTTCTCCCCATTAAAATATACATTACAACTTAATAAGACTCACCTCTTTAATTTGGGAGACGTTCAGCATGCCACAAAATGGTCTCCAGTTCCTCTTGATGATTCCCACCACCTTCCCTGTAGGTTTTCTGGCCGCCTCTGCTGCTGATATTCTCAACTGTCACATGAAAACACGTGTTTTTATTTTATTTTCTTGCACGACCTAATGTATTTGTATTATTTACTCAAAACCCAACTCACAGCTTTCTCTTCCTCTCCTTCTTCAACACTGTCATCTTTTGCTGCACCATCATCCTGCAGAACAACCGAAGATGGTGCCACCCACTGGTTCTGCGGCAACAGCTGCACAGCAACCACATCTTGGTGCACTGCTCTGTTGAGGTGCTGTAGACCCTGAATAAGAACCTGAAGAGAGAGGCCAAAGAAAAGTACAGACCTTGTAGATGACTTCACAATTGAAACATATCTGTTCAAGGCAAAAATCCTATAATTTCACCCAAATTCTCACACACCTCTGTGCTGTCGTCTCCTTCTTTCTGGATGAAAACGGTTGCTTCCAGATAGTTGTCCCTACTGGCCCTGAAGGTTCCCTGGATGAAGGAACCACTTTTAATTCCTGTCTGGATCTTGGACAGAGGCAGGTGTTCTGGATATAACACCTTACTACTGGTAACTTCATTCTATAGGAGGAAGAAAATAAATCAATGGAATAGACTGATGTTGTGCTGAGGTGTATGGGTAATAAAAACCACAAAAATCACCTTATCATCATTAGACAAAGCCAGACGATCTACAAGCTCAGGATTGGCAATCAGACTCTTGATGTATTCTTCACCTGGAAGGTAGAAAGAGAAAAACACAACAAGCTTGTGACAAAGTGTTGAACACAATTGATGTCTGACTGATGTAACCCACGTTTGTGTCTAATAAAATGACATACAGTGGAACAAAACATTTCATAGTTGAGTGTGATATTACATCTGTACACCAGCAGTCCACTCTCTTCTGCCTTGTTCTTATTCCCCTGGTCGTTGGTAAGGAGGACTACTTGGAGCCCATTTTTATCAGATTTCAAATGCTGGCTGTACCACTTGGCTGCCACACGGATTGCCCGGTCATTTCGGTCATTGGCAGTCTCCCCAGGTTCACGTTCAATAAATGTCTCTCTGGGGAATAAAATATGTACAATAAATGTAGCACTTCAGTGGTGAGGTTTTATACTTTAATTTATTGCAATCTAGTTTAAATGTTCATAATGTCTTTGTACCTGTGGTGCTCATTGGTAAAAGTGTAAAAGAATTTCTCCTTTTCATGTATGACATCCTTCAGACGTTTATAAACGGGTGCACTACGATGGCGAACCTCCTGCAGCACAGTCTGGAGGATGATTACATTACGAATCACAGGATCTTCCAAAACGTCAATCTGCAAGAAAGTACAACATGAACCATATATTTACAGTGAGTAATAATAATAACTAAATGAAAATTTTAAATGGTAAAAAATATTATACAACACAACCCTACCATAAATTGAAACAAGGCTAATTTATGGATGTACACTGTAGTATTAGGGTTGTCAATACATTTATATTAAGTATGCCTCATTTGACTGATTATTAAGGAGGGGGTTATAATTATAAAGTAAATAGTAATAAAGTACGTAATGCCACATTTCTTACCTGATGTAGCACCACGTTCGTGTCAGGCACCAGGTAATGAGGAAAGGAGCAGAGATTGCTCTCAATACACGCGTCTTTCTGTAGCACCGTGGACTCCTGTTTGCATTCATTGCAGGCTTCACTCCCGCACCAAATATCGTCTCTAAGATAATGTTCACGCACGATTTTTACCACCCCACCCGACCGCGTCTTCTTGACGAAAGTTTTAGATTTCAACATGATGACGGTTACTCAAGAAAAAACCCTATGTAGAAGTTTTTGTTCACAACATCTGACAAATGTGAATAACTAGAAGCGTCCCATGTGTACGCCGACTTTAGGCCGTTAAAACTTTCCCGGAGTTAGAAGCTCTCGTCATATAATTTTATAATATTCAAAAACCCCACCGCAATTTTATTAAATATGTAACTTGTAAACTACTATGTCAAAATATACGTTTGCTGTAAGAAAGGTGAATTTAGGTAGTTCTCTACAACAATATTAGACACGTTGGTCACGTTTTGGTTGGCCATGTAATTCTTGCTTGACGAAAACAAGCGTAGAGGAAAGCCGTTCCAAAGCTAGACATCCGGTCAAAAATTAGCAGTTGAATTTATAGCGCCCCATAGAGGATGGGACCGTGGTTAATCGAACAGAGCTATTTCAAAGGTATTTCAATTTGCATACTTTATGGAACTGGGTATTAAAAAGACAATATCTTGTTATGAATTTATTTTTTATTGACCGATAGTTGGCAATAATTTCCCATAATGACCGGCAACTCTTAAATCCGAGGAGGAGGAAACAGTACTTTTTTATGTTGCCATAGAGGGCGCTGTTCTGAAAAAACCAACACAGTGTTTCGGTGGCGGTTTACAGGCAGCTCAGAGCGGGACCGTTGAAAATGAAAACAATCTATAGTGTGAGGGTTTATTTAGTCCGGAATAACGAGTTGTTGCTGAAAGCGGAAAAGCTTTTTGTTTAATTACGTGGCAGTAAGTTAAGCACACGGTTTTAAATAACCGGAAGCCACAGTGTTTGTTTACGTTTTCTTTTCTCAGCAGACCGCCTCTGAATGTATTGTATTGGCTTTTGTAATCTCTGGTAAAAACGTCTTAAAAATAAAATAGCCACATGTAGCCTTTTGCTATTTCACCTCCGTACGTAACTTTAGTGTCTGAAACAGGAGGTAAAAAAAACTCAAAATGCCTCCAAAGAAGCATCAGCTGCGACTGACAGCAGTCAATGCGTCTAGCTCGATGGATCCCGAGTCGGAGGACATTAGCCTGGAGACCACCGTGCCAACCACCGAAGACGTGTCCTCATCAGACGAGCAGAGAGACGGATCCCAGAAAGTGACCCGTCAGCTGCTGGAGAGGAAGGAGCTGCTGTACAGCCTCAAGCTGCTGAAGATCGAGCTGGCTCAGAAGAACCTCATCATAGACAACATGAAGGCCGACCAAATGTCTAAGGTAAGCAATATTCTGATGGAAAATAAATACAATAAAATGTATAGATAAACAAAATACAATCATTGTACAAATACTGACGTCTTCTGTTATATATCTTGGAATACATGAACGTAATAGAGTCCTACTCACGTGTGTGCAGGCTGTGTTGGATATGTTGGATGTATATGTTAAAAAGGTAAAAAGAACATTTGCTTTGTTCTTGTAAAAGGAGCCTTGACTCTGAGGAATTGTGATTATGCTGCTTCATATTGAGTTCTAAAATACAATAATAATAATGATCTATATCATTGTTCAAATACAACCAAGACCTTCCAGGACCAAAAGAGGAGCTAATTAAACATTAGCATCTTTGGCTGGATGTATACTTATGTTACAGGAACTGAATTGTTGGACATTTGTTTCAGATTGAGGAGCTGGAGGAGAAACTTAATGATGCTGTGCATCAGAAACAAATACTGACCCTGAGGCTGGACAGTCAGCTGAAACTCGCTCAGGAAGAGAACAGGTAAAAATGACAGATGATGTCTGGGCGCAGTGGGATTCACGTGTCACACTAATTATGTGATTTTGTTGCATGCTCTAAAAAAACCCTGTTTTGTCAACACGTTTGCAATATGCAGCAGAAAGCACACGATGTCATGTTTATTCATATTAATCAAATGATTCATCGAGTAAAATTGAGTATAATAATCAAGATTTCTTCCATTTTTAGTGATGCAAAAAATCCCATCTCCTGTAGAGTAACACACTGCTTCAGGAAAAAAATCACATCTCCTGTAGAGTAACACAGTAACACACCGCTTCAGTTTTTTAAAATCCAAGCTCCCGTCTTTAGGAAAGAGCAAACTCTGCGTAAACAGGAGATGGAGACCATCCTGCTGAGGCAGCAGCAGCTGGAGGAGACAAACCGACAACTGTGTGAAAAAGCTGGAGAGCTGCGGAAGTCTCTGAGAGATCTGGAGATCTCCCTGGACCGGTACCAGGAGCTGAGGGACCTCCCTGAGGACAAGCTGTCCATACAGGAATATGTCGCTGTGAGTACGGTGATGACCTCTCAGTTCTGTTACTAAAAAAAAATTAACCACAAAGAGTTGATGAGGTTCTTGTTTTTTTTTTCATTGTGTTCAGATTCGTTTCCATGAGGTCGTTACTCCACTGAAGGCTCAAGTGGCCGAACTGAGTGTAAAGAAAGGCAGTTTGAATGAAGAACTGGACACACACAGAACACAGCTGAAGGCTTTGATGGAGGTACCGCTCACATACACACAAATCATGGACTTTTTTTTCCAACCACTGATTGATGCTGTAGTTACGTATGTTTAGTTCAACAATCTTAGAGTGGGGAGGTGTACTGATTGATGCTGTAGTTACGTATGTTAAGTTCAACAACCCTAGAGTGGGGAGGTGTTTCATCTGTATTCACATCTATGGTGGACCTGTCTTTGCAGAGCTACGAGGAGGAGCGACGGCTGCGTGCAGAGGTGGAGCTGAGGTGCCAGAGACTGACTCTGGAACTGGCTGATACCAAGCAGCAGATCCAGGAGGGAGACTACCGTCTTGTCAACTACCCAAACATCAAACGGTGGGTGTGTGTGTACAATAATAACAGCAGAAATCTAAAGCCTAATGAAGGAGAACAGGCTGTAAAGCGATATATACATATGTAGGTAGTATGTATGTTTATAATATAATTAAATGTATAAACACACACAAACATATGTGTATATTTGTATGCATGTGTATGTATATATACACATATACCTCATATTTATATGAATATGTATACACTTGTATATATGTATATATACACATATGTACATGTACTGCTTGAATATGACTTTCTTGTGATTCCAGGGTTTGAATGTCAATTACCTAATCCACAGCCAAAAAGCAGTTTAGAACTGATTTAGGATATTAAAGTGGTGAATTTGATGCTAACGTTGCTAACAGTTGTGTGTCTGTTGTTTAGAGACCGTGACAACCTTGAAGCAGAGATGAAGGAGTACAAACGGAAGTGTCACTCATTAGACTTAGCTCACACGGCACTGAGCAGAGAAAGGGAGAAACTCAGTAAAGAGGTGCTTCACACCACTCTCAACTCTCACGAATTTACCACAGATTTTATGCATCATTAAAGTCTGTGAGGCTCAATGAGTTTTATTTTTTCCCGTCATTCCCTCCAGGTGGCGACATTGCAGCAGGCAGTGGCTTTTCTGGAAAAGGACAAGGAGTATCTCCACAGGCAGAACACGGAGCTGAGTGTTCGCTGTGCTCATGAACAAGACCGTGTGGAGAGGCTTCAGGTACTTGAAAAATGGCCAGAAAGCCTGTTAAATTTCAAAGATGGAGAAATGACCCCCCCCCAACCCCTCTCTCAGTTTGAACCTGGATTTAATTTTTTGTTCTTGTGTCACAGGTGCAATTAGAAGACACGAAGAAGGCCAGGGAGGATTCCTATGAAAAATATGTAGCGTCCAGGTTAGACTCAGTCAGAGAGTTTTCTATGTTATAAAAATATTTGTTGAATTTTATTTGAATTGAGGTTAAAAACCATACCTTCCAATCCTTTCATATTAAATCAAATGTTTTTTCTGGCCTCAGAGACAAGTATAAGATGGAGTATGAAAGCAAGTTAAGAGAAGAGCTGGAGAACATCAGACTCAAGACGCACCAGGAGATCGACAAGCTGCAGAGATCCTCCAGGGAGATGTACGAACGAGAGAACAGGTGAATTCATTCATTTGAAATCTTTAAAAAAATGCAGATTTTATTAGAAAAATCTAAGCACTTCCAAAATAGATCTGGTGACGCTTCACTGTTTTTACTACCTTATGTTTTGCAATTTTAACTCAGTTATATAAATATTTACAGCCTACGGTGATCACTATACTGAACTAGTAAATAAGGTGAAGAATATGCTGCTAATCATAATTAATAAAATATCCTTTTTATAGTCTGGTTTTGGTATGATATGTTGTACTTCTACTCACTGCCTTCATTTCTCCAGGAACCTGCGGGAGGCCAGAGACAATGCAGTGTTGGAGAAAGACAGAGCAGTGGCAGCTGAAAGAGACACTCAGTCCAGATACGACCAGCTGCTGGAACAGTGAGTGGAACTGTCCTTCGCTGACATCACTGTTAGATGCACTTCACTCTTTCTCATGGTTTTCCTTCACTCCTTTACTCCTGCAACTGATTACAATTTTTATCAAATTTTTTTTCTTCTGATTAATCATAGGTTAGCTGTGGATACAGAACGATTAATCGAGGTCTTTATTAATCACGATTAATTGTTAGTCTCTAACTTTGTTAAAATGGATATTCATTCATAAAAATTATTATATATATATATATTTGTGTATATATATAAATATATATATGTGTTTGTGTGTATATACACAAACTGTATCAGTTACATACATGCAGCAACATGCTCTTAACGTAAACGTGTGACGACAGGACTTGGAATCTTTCCCACAAGGCACCTGTACTGTACGTTGAATGTGTTTGTTTAATCCACTTTGATGGTTCTGAACCACAAAAAAAAACTGTTGTCACTTCTTTACACGCAGTTTCATTTGCAATGTGAAAAAAAAACCTCCTTGAACCCAAAGTTACAACACACTGGTTGTGGAGAGAATGGTGTTTAAATCATCGCTGAGGATTGTGTCATCAGTGGTGCATGACCAGAGGCAGTGTAGCATTAAAGCAAACACAGTGTTCAGCACCTCTGGTGGTCTTCTGGGAGACGAGCACTCTCCCAGAGCTGCACTTAAATCAGGGTTAGTTTAAAGGGGCAGAGACGCTGCAGTGCTGTTGGCCTGTTTGTAAAAAAACACACGTTTATGTGAACGGTGCAGTTTGATTTTGAAAAACAATCATTTGAATAATAACTGTAATAATTTAAAGCTAAATTAAACTTTTTTGAGCAGCAGCCAATTTTTACCAGGTCACAGTGAACAAAATTGCAGGTGTCAATTATGTCAATTATCACAATTGTCACGGCCTCATTCCATTTAGCTCAGTCATCACACACTGTCCTCCATTGTTGAACTTTGTCAACAATTCACAGAACAAAATAAAACAATCAGGAAAGTAAGTATGTAGTTAAGTACAAGTACATACAACACACAAGTATGCATACAAATACACACACAAAAAAACTGAATAACATATTTATTTATTTATTGTGTTTTAAATTCACGATCAGATCAAACATTTATGTTTAAGAAGAAATTTAAAAAAACTTAATGAATGGGTTTTGCTCCCAATATTTTATAAAATATTATTGTGTAAATTAACAAGAAATTAATTTACACAAGAGGCAAACAAAAAAACAAATGTGTCAATATTGTATGAATAAAATATTTTTAATAATTGCACAATTAACAACATAGACACAATAAGAAAAAAGCTGTCTGACTTCATAAGTGCAGTCATTACAGTATATGGGTGTCTGTGTATATGTATAGATACATAAATACATATATAATAATTATTAAGATAATAGTGATAGTGAGTTTAATATATGATTAGTAAACTTGGCTCTTTTAAACAATTTTTATTTATTTAATTTTTCATTTTATTTTAACATAATTCTTTTCATCTTTTACCACCAAAGAACACTAGAACAATTGGCTTTTAAACTGTCCACTGACCTGTTGTCCAAGGACTCCCTGCAGGTCACAGGAAGACAGGTGTAAACTGGTGTCACTGGTATCACTGGTCTAACTCCACACTGGGTGGAGTAAAATGGTTTGAGAGTGAAAGTTGTAAGTCAATTTACAGAAAGTTGAGAGAAGCAGCTAAAAAATGCTGACGGAGATTTATGACATTATTTCACATTCTCATTGTCATTTGTAAAACAAACCGTCTTTTCTTTGGTTTTTAGTCGCTTGCAGGTAGGATTATTTCTAGTTCCACAACAATAGTTTGTTCCAACAATAGTTTTCACTGATTTCCATTTATATGGTCAGACCAACAACAGCATTAACCGTTACCTTAATTATTACCAGTCAGTTGTTGCCCCTAACGTTAACCTTAACGACGACTGACATGGTTATATTAACCACCAGTAACCAGAGCCTCAGGACAGAAGTCCAGTCACACGGGAGCACGTTTTCTAATGCGGTCGAATCCAACATAAATCATATAGAGAAAAAATTAATAACTGACTCAGGAAAATAAAGTAAAATATTTTAAGAAATTAAACAAGACTCCCACTGGCAGTCAAAGGTTTCCATGGTGATGAAGACAACACTAAAATCATGAACCATGATACGTCAATGAGAACACGGTGAGAGAACACAACGTGTGTGTGTGTGATCACAAACGCACACTGATGAATTGTGACTTTTTCCAGACTATTTTAAATGTGTCGTATAATTATCAACACACACACACACACACACTGACATGAACAGCAGCAGCAGCACTGGCCTCAGCAGCAGCAGTGTCCCAGTCCTGCGTTACTACCACATGCCAATCATTCTTCCAGATCCAAACCACCAGTTGTTGGAATTTCCATGCAAACACACACACACACAAATACTTCAATCTCCCTAGCACTGTCTCTTTGCTGCGATCACATTGCCTCCCTGCGTCGCATCACAAGCCAGCAACGACAGATGCTCGCCTCAAGCCCTTAACACCTAACCCCACGCATTGGCCCTATTTTTGGGGCAAAGAATGAAGCAGTCGAGCTTGAAACGGGTGTCAGATGAGCGGAGCGTGTAGTGAGAGCCACGTTGAATCTCTTTGCTGGATTCCGCCTACGGCAATCAACTTTATAGTAAATAAAATTGCCACGGGGGAATCTCAGGCATTTAACTGGACGGAGGACAAAAATGGCCGACAGTGGGAAAAAAAAAACAAACTAATCAAAACCAACATCAAAAATGTTTCTCAGGAACATTCTTGTTTTCTCATATCTAGATTTGCAGCAGTAGTTTTTAATAAAGGCGTACTACAGAATGTCCACCATGTGTACACGTCTGTCAGGGCCAACACACACACACACACACACACACACACACAGCTTCAGTTTGTTCCACTATAGATGATGAAACTCTATCAGGTCAGCTGTAATCAAGAGTTATTAATATTATCCAGCTCACATCTACAGAATGATGGGAGCCTGTGTGTGCATGTGGTTCAACAGCGCCTCAGGAAGCACATGCAGCTCCGGCTGTTTCATTGGGCTCTAACACACTTTTTATTTTATTTTTTTATTTTTTTATTCAAATCACTGGAGCAGCAAAAAAAACCTCATAAATTCCTCCATCATCACAGTCTTCACCTGCCTGCGTACTTGTTTTGCTCAGGGCAACGCACTTCCATCTGCCTGTTTGCAACGTGTGAAGTGTTTTAACACACACTTTCATTAATGTGACAGGGCTCCGACAGATTTCTACCGTTCCAACGACAGGATCTGTGGAAATTCAAAAACATTCCGTCCTCTACTCAGCTTCTTTCTCTACTCACTTACAGTAATTAGACACATCTCTCTCTGGCTGCCAGGTACAATCAAAGATGAGCAAATCAGAGCTAACTTTGCTGCCAACGACGTTGAGAAATATTCTGCTGTCAGGAGGTGATTTAACGCTTGGCTTCCCTCCCGCGCGATTTGGTGTAAGTTATCGAGCTATTAGCTGCCATTTAACACTTTGAACATGGAAAAAAAGTGTTCGTTGTGCAAGGAAAAACAAAAGCTTCCTTTGAGGTGTTCAAAACAAAACATGTCATCGTGTATTTTATCGCTAAATTGTCTTTAGATGAAGGACGGCGGCGGTGTGTACGTCTGAGTGCAAACCAGGAGCCCATAACTGAGGCTTGTGTCGGCAGCAAAACACATGATCTCACTGTTCATATAATTTCATCACACATCAAATTAATTTCACTGTGTTCTCCACCTGTGTGTGTGTGTGTGTTTGTGTGTGTGTGTTGTGTTTGCATGCACACAGGTTCCGTCAGCTGCAGCTGGGCACTGACAGCCGGGTGGCAGAACTGTCAAACCAGGCCAAGCTGCACTCCTTCGAAGCCCAACGTGCTCAGATGGTCAAGGAGGAGACGGCAAAGGTTCTGGCCCAGTGTCAGATGGAGTGTGAAAAGCAGCAGAAGAAGCTGGAGGTACCAGTCAAACAGAGTCCTGTGTTTTCCTAGTCTGTGAACCAGTGCAGTCACTGGTCCAGGTGCATGATTAACTCTGACTGTTTTATTCCCTCAAACCCAAAATAAATATCCAAAGTGATGTTATTTCCTCTCAGTCACTTCTCAAGAAGTGGCAAAATACAGAACATGGTGTGTGCAACTGTTGCTGCAACCAGTGTGATATGGCGGCTAACTTTTTTTTATTTTTTTTTACATTATTTGGAACAGACTTCTGGAGGATGAGGATGTGGATTAACAGATATTATATGATACACAGTTGTGTAAAAATGAGAAGCACAAAAAAACACGTTCCCACATCATCAAAGCAGTTTCTACTTAAAAGTCATTATTACAATTACACCTCATTGACAGGTTTCGAGGTCACAGTCATTTCTTGTAGTTCATCTCACTGTAGTGAGGCAGCATTTTGAACAAGCACAAACAACATGCTCATAACTTCAGGCTTGAAGCCTTGAAGAAGGAAAATGACTGGACCGGGGGAACAGAGTTGCTGTATTAAAAAGTTGTAAAGTTGTTGTAAAAAAGATTGTTTTCTGTGTGATAAAAACAACAAAGTTTATTGAATGAATGAATGAGTGACAAATACACAAACATTTGCGTCTTGTAAATACTCAGTACTCTGTCCCTCAGCTCCTCACTCAGGAGTTCTACAGGCTGCAGACGTCGTCAGAGAAGCGAGCGGCCGAGCTGCAGTCCCAGAATGCCGGGCAGGCCCCACGCCTGGAGACCTACGAAAAACTGGAACAGGAGTTGGACCAGGTCACGATGCAGGCTGCCGAGAGTAAGAAGGAGATAAACAGTATACTGTCGTAGTACAGTACAGAATATTTTTCCCCAATTTCCCCAAAATGTTCTTTCTATTATCAGTTGAGGATGAAGACGAGGCAGAGAGGGTTTTGTTCTCGTACGGCTACGGAGCCAATGTTCCCACAACGGCCAGAAGACGACTGAAGCAGAGGTACTGTACACAATACTGCATGACACCGCGAAGAAGAGGTATCTGAACGTGATCTTAGAGTTCGTTAGTAAACCCTTTGTTTCCGGTGCCTGGACTCAGACCTGTGTCTTTTCATTCTTTACATATTAGGACTGTTCCAAAAACAGTGTCAAAAACATCAAATCAGACACGATTTAACCTTGAAATGATTGAACCTTTCCAGTCTCAACAATGCGCTTCAGGAAACTTCAAGTTGATGACATTAATTAGAAACTGTAGTGCAGCAGACATGAAAACACTGGTGACTTACACACCTATACACATTACAGTACTGCTACAGTGTTGTGTGTGTTCTTTCTACACATATGTGCACGAGTCTGAAAATTAAAAAAATTTTAACGAGCGACTCTACCACTGCAAAGGAACTCTGTCCTTTGGCTCACGGCCACACTTTGTTGTAACATAGAATCAAACATACCACTAATTATTTGGAATCTGACATCTCGTCAACAAGTAATTAACAGAAGTGTTGGCTCTGTTCAGGGTTTGTCAACTTCTCAGTCATATATGTATGTACTTTAAATCGATCTTCTTCAATGTTGTTTTTAATTTCACCTCATTTGTAATCAACATTTAACCCTTTAATGAAACACCAGTCAGTGGGCCGCAGCCCACAGCTAACGTTTATGCCTGATGCATTCAGGTTCTGCCAGGTGGTGAGATGTAGGTTATTAGTTCAACAACCAGATCAGTATCATATATCATGTATCGGCTGATACACACAGGTGTCAGTGTTAGGATTAGTTTGACTACAGTTCAGAGTCTTATAATTCCAGAGAGGTTGTTTTTTTTCCCCTTGTTTTGATCCAACCAATCAGCTGTGGTTACATCAACTCCGAGAGGAACACTGAACCACACGCAAGTGTTGTCTTGTTTGTTTTGTCGTGTTTTGGAATTTCTATGACTGTGTGTTTTTGTTTTTTTCTTTGGGTGGTGTGCAGTGTTCACCTGGCACGCAGGGTGTTGCAGCTGGAGCGGCAGAACACGTCACTCAGACGGGAGCTGGAAACACACAAGTCGCAAGCGGGACAGGTATCTGACGAGGTAAAGTCACACACACACACACACACACACACACACTCACTCACAGAGGCTGTATCCAGGCGTGTACGTGCCCGTAGGCATTCACCCAACGGTAGAAATAATAAAACAACAGTAAAAGCCACAGTCACTTTATTCCACAGTCATTGCCATTTAGGTTGTAATGATTTATATCTGCTGGCGTTCACATCTAATGTCATCAACACAGCCATAATTTTAGAGCCATGCTACGAGGCTCCTGTTTTTGTTCAGGGTTTTTTTTTTTCTTTCTTTCTCTCGTCTCTCCCACACACTGCTGCGTGACTCTGCTGAGTCAGGGACAACGGCACATCCATCTGCTCTCCTTAGGGTCAGGGAGTTTTGTATGCAAGTCACAGGAGTGTGTACGTAAAGGGTTTGTGTAGATATGCAAGTAAGGAACATGAACCTCATGCTTAACAGGAGGAAGGGAGAGTTTCAGGAGATCATGTACAGCATTTATGCAGTTGCAGAGTCCCATTAAACACTAAAGAACAGGAGGGGTGAACTGGGGAGTCCTTCGTCCCACAGTTCCACCATTAGATGTCACTGATTCTTCCACTAATCCTGGACCTCAGCTGTGCAAGTGAACCAGCTCTGGGTGTGTCTTCCATCAAAAGTACTGTCAACAAAAGTATTTTACTTAAGCTTATTTTTTTGATAAGCAACTGCAGCATTAATCCCGTCTGATTTTCTTTTCTTGTTATACCGTGACTGTAGAGGGACACATTTTATTTTTTTTGGATCTCAGCACAGCACTAGACAAATGAAATCTCAGCGTTTTAGTCGCTGTCACACCTGTCAACGCGTCCAACAAACCGTAACGGCCCAGCCTTTCACTGCTGCGTGCTTCCCTCCAACCAAGACATCGCTGAGAACCAATCAGCTTTCATTTATGGGCGTGTGCCGTATTTGTGTTTTTTTTTGTTTGGGTTTTGTTTGTTTTTTTCGTGAGCTTGCAGTCACGTGTCCACCACTCGTGCACCATTCTCTACATCTAGTAGGGCTTATGGGTGTGTGTGTGTGTGTGTTCCCTCAGTGTCTAATGATGTGAGTGAGAGCACACTGAAGAGACAGACATCAGTCTGAATCAGCCGTTCATTCACCTGTGAGCTTTGACTGACTGGTACTCAGGCGGAACACCTCATGATTCATTGAGTATGAAAAGGAAAAGGGTGAAAAATTGTTCCCTCTATTCAGTTGCGCTGGCAGAGGGTGTTAACCACTTAGCCGCCCACACAGATGCCCTGACTGACTATTGTCTTTTTCCTCTCTCCACCCAGTCCTTCTCACCGCTGACTTGCTGTAAAGTTGGTTTAATGTGTAACACCCTCACTTTATCTGTCCTAACACAGGTTTTAAGTACAATGCTGGCAGGTTCAGTCAATGCAGCCTGAATGAGTCATTACTGCTTGTAGTAAAACATTTTTTTTTCTTTAAATGAGGAAGTCAATACAGGATTATTGTGACTTTGATTTCAGCAGCAGATTTTTTTCTATGGATAAAAAATAACATGAATGAGTGTGCTATGACTAGATGTTTCACAATAGGTTTAGCAGCATAATCTGAATGAACTAGCTCCCATGGAAATAAATGAAAAATGTAAATGAAAAATAAAAATACCAAGGTTGAATTACTGTATGCCAAGACGACTACGTTTACAAGTTGCTACGAGACATTAAAAAGTCACGCTGCAGCATAAAGAGTTTAACACTAAATGAGCCAATTGGGGAGATTTATGGAGAGAAAATTAAGTTTTCATTTGTCAGACCTGGAAAATTAGTCAAGATGTTAAACATTAATTTAAAAAAAAATCCTCTATTTTATATGTTAATTTAAATGTGTTTTTAATGACCAGACAAAAGAAGAAAAAATAAATTCTATTATATAAAACCTATGGCTCATTATGACTGATTATATAATAGATTTTTTTCTTGGATTTTGTTTCTGTAAAACTGACGTCTCCTCAAGAAATGTGAAGAAATTCATTGCTCTAAATATCGTACAGCTTTGACAGAATTGCACTGCAACCAACTGAGTTTGTGTGTATTCAATTAAATTTCTCTCGTGCTCAACTATGCAACACGTGCATTTTGTTTGTCAGTTGTCAGCAGCCAGCCGTCTGTTGGAGCTGACGCAGCAGCCTCACAGCTACCTGATCGAGACGGTACGACAGAGGGACGCACAGATCAGCACGCTGAAGGAGCGCGTCTCCTCGCTGGAGGATGACGTCAGGTACGTGGACACGACAGGCGTTCTTAAATATGAAAGTCTGTCTCAAACGTCACTACCCACATCTTTAACAATCGTGCCCTATGTTCGACATAATTGATAAGCAATACATCCACTAGGGGGCTGTGCTGAGTTCAGAGTTCATTTCCATATCAACATGAGTTTGTCAAACAATAACAAATGTGGCGAGGGTGGAGGAGGCGGTGATAACGTTCCTGCTCAGAGAGACTTCCAAACAGAGTCAGAACAGGTGGTCAGTGGATACAGCGCCACATGTGGACAGATACTTCATCTGCATGGTTCTGCTTGGTCTGTCATTGTCTTTTTTTTTCTTTTTCTTTGGATGGGCAAACATGAGCTATCCTGCACAACACTGCCCCAATGATTCCCAGTGGTACTGCTTCATTTGATGCTGTCCATAAAATGTCCCAAATTAGGTTCACAACAAGAGCAGAGGACGGCCGAAAAAACAAAAAAGCCTAAGTATGTTAAAGTATGTCTTCTATTCCTTCAAAAAAACATAGTTTTCTCTTTGAGTTATTAACAAGTTAATTTATACCCCCCCCCTACACACACACACACACACACACACACACTGCATGGCACTGTCTGTCTTTTAACCTGGGAAATATTCAGCCCTGACAGATTTGCAGGTTTTCTCTTGCTGCTTTTTTCCACTGACCTGAGGCAAAAAAAAAAAAATCACAATCATCTCGTGCTTCACCTGATCCTCAGTCTGACAGAGATGTTTGACCTTTTTCCTGTGGTTGTGCATCGCTGGCCTTTAACTAGGTATTTATTTCAAAGGACGAGCCTGAACATGTATTTTGTGTCTGTATTTTAATTATTTTCATTTTTTACATGATAAAGTGACAGGATCATAAATACTGTTGAGACATTTTCAGATGTAGTAGAGATAGAGGTGGTCAAGGCAGAGGAGCAGGGGGAGACCACAGACCACAGGCTTACCAAAGGAGGACGTGTGACATGTCTCATCTCGTGTCCTGTGGCGTGAATGACACAAAGATTTTTATAACGTCAGTAAATTTGTTACTGCTTAGTGACAATGAAGGATCTTGAAACGTGTTAAAGAAGATGAGGAAGAAGGAAGAGATTAAAAAAAAAAAAAACCTTTGCCAGTTTTTTAATCTCTGGTCAGGTCAGACTTGTCACACAAGCTCCACATCACACAGTCCCGGTCTGAACCAACTCACTGAGAGCAGATTGTTGTGAGTGTGTACACGGTGGTATCAGTTCCAGCATGAGTTCTATACTGAACCAATACTCGTGTTACGACCTGTGCACTTATATAAACTCACTGCTGCCTTGGGTTTGTAGACACAGCGCAGACTAATTTGGTGCAGTGGTGGCTTAGTGGTTAAAGAAGGGGACGTGGGTCCGGAAGGCTTCAGGTTCGAGTCCACCAGCTGAGGTGCTCTGAGCATGGCACCGTCCCCACACACTGCTCCCCGGGTTCTTAAAGCTGACCACTGTTCACTTTGGTGATGGGTTAAAAACAGAGGTCACAGTTGGTCGAGTGTAGTGGTGTGCAGTGTCACAATGACAAGGAGTTCACTTTCCTTCAGAATAAGGGTTTGATGAAACATTTAAGATTCCCGTTTGTTTTTTAAAATGTTTTACAACTTTGTCAATCCTGGATTAAATTAAACCACAATCCTTAACTTGGTCCCTGACCTGCAGTTTGGTTAACACTATTAGGTTTTAATATATTGGTTATAATACAGTAGGTACTGTATAATACAGCAGTCCATGTGGTGAGTCTCTTGTTAAATGAACAACAAAACAATCAGATAACACTATTTGTCATTTTCTTATTAGTCACACATGATTACGCCTAATAATTAACCACTTAAAATTGCAGGCAAAGCTACACATGTTAGGGTTGGACTCATGAAAGCTAAAAATGCTAGACGGTACAAACATTTTCCTAAATCAACAGTCATTTGATTTTTAAACCAAAACTTTAAAATAACTTATCAAAGTAAACACTCCTGTGTGTATAACATTTCGTTGCACGTCGGTTGTGGGGAGGGGTTATGTTCCAGTAGTGCCTCCCATCCCAGGAGTTTGAAGTCCGTGTTTTGACATACCTTAGCTCGAATGATTTAAAGCCTTGAGAAAAAAAAAAATGTAGCCAGTGCAGATTATAAAACCAAATTGTAGAAAACTGACAAAGTTGAGAAATAAAAGCTTTTACATCGTAGTTACACGTACGTCAAGTTAAAGTTTCTTTGCAACCTTTAAACAAATATGACGTGAGTTATAATTAACACTCGACGTCTACTCTTCACACTCCTCTAATTTATTTTTACAACCCACACTTACTCTGCTTTAATAAACAACATAAACCATCAGACCTGGACGGGACGTAAACACGTCTCTGAGTTTATTTATTACAATTTAATGTCCATTAATTACAGATTTTTAGTTGTTTAAACTCAATGTGTTTTCTCTGTTCATGTCTTTGGCTGTGACTCCAGTTCTCTGAGGAAAGAACGGACTGCACTGCAACATACCAAAAACATCATGGCTGCCGATCTGGAGAAACTTCTTAGTCATCAAGAGGTAACGTTTCCCCAACCTTAGCCCTGACTCAAGGTTCTGATAGTGTCAATAAAGTACGTCATTATTGGTAAATGACGATTTTGTGGGTTTTAATTTTAGAGATATGTAATATTGGTTTGTTGCGTAAATTGTAAAAAAGAGTGACCAAAAAGATTTGGTCATTGTCATTTTTTTCTCTCAGACATACCAAAGAAATTAAGTCAAAGACATTTTTATAATTCAAAATGTAAAAAAAAGGTCTATCAGTCATTAGTCTGGTTGATGATTGATCTTAAGTTTAATTAGTATTTGATTTATTGTTACTGCGTCACTTCTAAATCTGCTGTGTTCACATTTAAATTAAATTAAAAATGTGAACTTTTTATAATTTAATCCAACAGATCAGGGTTTTTTTAAATTAGATAATACAAGAATAAATAAAACAAATTTGAATAAATACATTTCAACTTTTTTTCTTTTTCCATCCTTCAACCAACCGGCCACTGACGGTCACACACAGTACGTTACGACACTGTGTTGCAAAGTTTTGCCCCAGATTGCGTGTGCTCGTATGTGTGTACATATGGGACTGCAACGCCCCCTCCCCACTAAAGCCAGCCGTTTGCTGTATGAAGTATGCGTCCTGTCACAGACAGCTGTTCCTCCGCCTGCCTGTTTGAGATGCCACCAGGGTGCGTGTGTGTGCGCTCGTGCATGTGTGACATGCCAAGGCTCATGTCCTCAGGGGTGATAAATAGAACCGTGAAAATGGCCCCGAGTCCTCCGCTCGGCCCACCTCTTCTCCCCCCGTCGACCCATAAGCTGGTTGAGCTCATTGAATTTGTCTTTTTTGTTTGTCTTCCTGAGATGAGCTGTGAAGACTTGTGGCTGCAAATAATGTAAAGCTGTGAAGACTTGTGGCTGCAAATAACACGACAGCAGGAAAAAAATGTAATATTTCAGGCAAATAATTAAAAAATGCTTAAAACATAATACTAGAAAATATTATGAATCATTTACTGTGTATTTTTTACTGTATTTGTTTGGATAAAATCAGGCATTTACATCATGTTACTGTTTTATTATTGGTTTTAAAATTACTGACAGGACTAACATTCACTCCGTGTGATGTGATGCCGTTTGATTGATTAAGGATTCTACAACCGTCGATCAGTCAGTGCTTATTAACTTGTTAATTTGTTGCTGTTTTTGCTACTTTGATAAAAGATTAATGGAAGGATTTGCTTTATGGACAAGAACAAATGATCACTTTCTGGGCTTTACTCACAGGAACTAACAATTCCTCCCATTTTCTTTATGTTCTTAATCACCTCATAGTAGAAATTTACAGAAAAGATCTTTGAAAAAAAAAAAAGAAAAACATTTTGGTCTGTGTGGACAAAAGTCAGCAGGAGCTTGAACTGCTGAGATGTGAGAGGGTAGTTTGAGGTTTAAGGTTCAAGACTTAGTTCAGAGTTAGGATTGGAATTAAGGTCAGATTATTGTTGGATGATAAAAGAGCCCTGTGAAAAGTTCCAAGAATAAAAAAAACACATCCTTGATTAGGCATCTGTAGTATTGGACTAGTTTGAAACCATACTTTGATAAGAAATCACAGGTGGACTAGTGTAAATATATATATATATATATATATATATGTATATATATATATACTGTATGTATATTCATACTGTATTTCTATATTTTTATATATATAAATATAATGTGGATATTACTATAATACTATAATACTAATACCTAAAACCACAAAGTTCAAGCTGTGACAGTAGGCAAAGGGCAAAATCATGAATACTTTAAGGAGGGCAAACTTCACTGTAAGGTGAATTAACCAATTTTCTCTACTTGTTTCTGCAGGAGTTAGCTATGATGAAGCAGGTCCTCGTCAACATGCAGTCCAAACAGGGAGACACTGGGAGTCCGCCGGAGTTGTCCAAACCAGCTGTCAGGACGTGCGGTGCAGGGAGGCAGCAGTCCAAACGTGTGAACAGGGCTGCAGTGGAGGAGTCACCAAACAAACCCAAACCCATTGTGTTTGTAAGTGACTAAACTTGGCAACACCCTTGTATGAGTCACCACCACCTGAACCTGTCTTGACAGAAGTATTGAACAAAAAGAGAAATCTCTGCAAGTGATAAATCGCTTTCTTCTCCTCTGACATTTCATAATTTAACTGCATCAGCTGAGCAGACATACGTGTATGTGTAGCTCACAGTTTATCATTCGGATCATAAAAATGTCGTAAGGCTGAGGCCAAATAAAACGGCTCCCGCTGTCTGGTGCTAAAGAATTAAAGACTTCCCTAACCTTCACTTTACCTCCTGTGTCTTATTTACAGACCCATAGAGAAGCTACGGACTGGCGCCGAAATCCCAAGCAGAAACCAAAATGATTGTCATCGAAACAAGACCTCTGCTGCGATCGACTGGGTCTCACTCAGGTCTAACAGTCTTATGATTTACATCTGAACTCTTTGGATTTTCTGAAGCTGTGAATTACTCACAGAAGGCACAGAAATCATTCCTCTGGTGTTTGTGTTTTGTTTTCTTCCCTGGTTACAGATTATTTGGTGAGGATAAATCCTCATCTTCATCCTGGTCCAGAACTAGAAGGTAGTACCTTCCAACGGGGTACACATTCCCACACTAAGAGACTGCCCAAAAATTCCTCTTCCTTGGCAGGGCTGTGTTTTATTAGGTCTGTCTATCATTATTTATTCATCGTTTCCAGCTTTTGCAGATAACGGTGGCCACGGACAAATACGGTTGAAGGAAACTCGGCTTTTGATTCACACGAGCCGAGACTCCTTTGGCTTTAAATATAGACATAGCAGACATACCTTTTATCATTTCAGACCATGTTCTTATCGGTGTCATATTAAACACCAGCAGCGACTGCTACTCAGCTTGTTTGTCACTTTTCCTTATCTGAGATCTTTTTTTTTTTCTTCTAAAAGAGTCAGGTCATAGTGCAACACAAATCCACCTCACTTGCTTTTTATACTAGAACAAACATCACATTAGAACTTAAGAAAAGGCTTATCTGAGCTCTGACTAAACATTTTATGTAAATATCGCACAGTGTCAGGTTTTAACATTTTATCTGCTTAATGTACAGTCACAGCTTCAAAACGGTAGGTGTAAAATGTGTCCCTTTTTTGTACTTTCTAAATAGCATTATTCTTCTAACTAAACAATGTAGAACGATTACTGTAAAGATTTTCAAATATTGTTTTTTTCTGAATGAGATACTTAATTGTAATAACTTTGTACAATTGTTACATTTTATAATTATTATGAGGATTTTTTTTGTTTGTTTTGGCTTGGATGTTTCTTTTATTTTGTAAATTGGGTTTAATTTTGAATACTGCTTTTGTTTTTATTGTATTTGCACCATTTTATTTTGAAGCATCCTGTCACTGAGTATTTAAAGGTGCAGTATTTTTTATTTATTTATTCTAGATTTTACCAATTGTTTATTTTTTTGTATGTGAAATCTGTTGGAAATATTTGAATGTACCTATTTTTTTATACCCAATCAGTGTCACCTGAGAATATTTTGTTTGTTTTGTCTTCATTGTCACAAAAAACACTGTGAAATCCTACCACATGCACCTTTAACTGATATACATGGACTAAATAGATTGTAGACACAAATAAAACAGTTGAGGTTGTCTACATTTTTAGACAAACTCATTGGTGTTCACCACAATTTTCTGCATTTCTTTCATACACAAAATAATTAAGTGATCTCAAAGGAAAATTATTTAATAACTAATAATTAAAAATAGTTGTTTGTCGCAGACCTGAACCTGATTGTGGGAAACCAGTCAGTGTTGGCAGAGGGTTTTATATTATCTGTGTGCAATGATCCAAATACCAATAATACCTGTTTGTTATTTCCAGCTCTCTTTGAGGACTGAAGACGCCTCTTGGATGAGAGGTGAGGCAAAACCATTACAGCCCAGTTTCCTGCTACTTATCTGCTCTTCGAAGTAACTTTATCGTGTAAACGTCTGATTATCGAGGTTAAATATGACTTTGTACCATGTCTTCTCTTTCTCTTCTCTGTCCAAACTAATATCCACTGCCTATTGTTCTTTAAATATTATCATAGTTTAAAACATTGACATCATCATTAAGTACGTGTCCTTGTATTTCTATTTTAACTCATTTACTGACATTTACTGAATTTGTTTGAGTTTGTGTTTTTTCACTGTTTAGGACACGTGTCCTTGTATTTCTATTTTAACTCTGGTGACATTTACTGAATTTGTTTGTGTTCTTTCACTGTTTAGGATATGTTGTACATGCAGTACTCCCCATGTCCTGTAGGTGTATTGGTAGGATTTTACATTGTCTGTTGTGTGTTAATGTGTTCATCATCAGTCCAGTGCTGCTATGCTTGGATATAAATTGTAATTTTTCTCATGGATGTTTCGACTTCCCATTTATAAAGTACATAGGAAGTGGTGTTGAACACAAACTTAGTAACTTCTGAAACATTTTTGTCTATTTTAGGCACGAATTTTTGAGTGTGCTTAGAGAGAAAATGTTTTTAAGTTTGTAAGTTTCAATTTAGCCACTCTGGGCAAAACATGGCGATCCAACATGGCCGCCTCCGTCAGGAAGACCCGCCTGTAAATTGTTAATTATTGGACAGGTTGTGATAAAGATGCCGGTAATTGGTTACATATAATTATACTATTGTACTAATCCGTGTTCCATTGCTAGGTAAAACAAATACATACACAACGTCCTAACGTCATGGTAGTAATTGCGTGTGTTTCAGGGCGGTGGCCGGTGAATGAATGATCAAAGCCGTCGACGGGCGGAGCCTCCGCTGTATTTACTCCCGGCGCCCCGCCCTCTCCACAGCGGATAGAAAAGTGTTGGAGGGGCCGGTGGAAGGATGAAACAAGTGGAAGGGGATGCATCAGTAACAAGTCCAACGCACACACAGCCCTCCACCTCTTCGCCTCCTCCGTTTCTGTATCACTCCGCTGTAGCATCCGTTCTCCGGGTTACAGTTCTCCCTCCTCTGCGGCGGTGCACCGGAGCTCCATGGCCGCCACACTCACCGTGAGCGGCGGCGGGCAGGACGATCCCTTCTACCCGCTGCAGAAGGCGACTCTGCCGGCTGTCTTTTCTCTGGAGGACTCGGTGCTGTTCGGTTTAGACTGCAAGCTTTCTGACAAAGCTGGATTAAACGACTACTCACTACAGGTATTGCACACACTCGTGCACAAACAAATCAAAATCTCTTTATGCACACTGTGGTGATGTCTTTGACTGGATGGGCGTGGCAGCCTGCATGTTGTTCACCCCTTGCTGATGTGTTTGTCTCCTGTATGGCCTCCAAAAAATAATAATGCAATCGACCTGTTTGCGGACGTGCTCATCAGCACTTCAACGTGCATTAATGAGAAATATCAGCGCGGCCAGTTGGCTACATTGTGCAGCGTCGCTCTGCCTCCGACGTGCATTCACTGCGTGTTTGCTCCGTCTGCCAGTTGCTCAGCAGTTGTTGGTGCCTCTCTCACCATCATACCATCCTGGCAACAACTGACGGCAACCAGGGCCGGACTGTACAAAGGTCCCGGCAACTCTGCCCGCAAGGAAACTTGTGGGAGAGTGAAAGAGCCTAGAAATAGCAGCAGCAGCAGCAGCAGGAGAAGAAGCAGCAGCAGGAACAGCCCATTCCTGCATGCTCCTGCTCCTGCTGCTGCTGCAGGGAGGCATGGGTGTTTCCCCATTCCCTTTCATGTTGCTGTTTCATCCTGTGCTGCAGAGCTCCTCCAACTTTAATAACACTGAGATGTGTAACATTTACAGTCATCTGAGGTTTATATGAATATTAAACGTTGAAAAATTAAAGCAAATAATCCAACTCAAATGCTCACTGAAAAGCCCATCTAAATGCAGAGTGTGCAGTTTGTCTGTTTGACCTTTTTTTTTATTTAATCCTTTACTAAATCGTTTACTATCGACCTTTCCGTTGGCACCACGGCTGATACTGTCCATCGAATTGACTCCATAATAAAAAGCCATTTGTTAAGCATATAAATAATTACCATAAAAAGCAGGAATCCACCTGAGCAGCCCGAAGAGAAAGAGGGGGAAAAAACTAATCAATTGCTTGTCAGTCTCTTGAGAAAAGAAATGTCAGCACATACCTGAAACAGGCTGCTACACCACTGCAAGTCCTGAGTGACTCGACTACATTTTCATTCTGAATTTAGTCGCTGTATTGTAATAATTATTTAATTACACAATAGTGAGAGAATCAACCCAAGAGAAGAACTTTAGAGATGCAGTCAGTAATGATTTAACTGTCTTATTTTTATATTGTCATTGTTTGCTTTCAATCTGAAGAATGTTTTATTTATCTGCAAAAACATACTTTTGGTTCACACTCACACAGGAAGGTGAAATCACAGGAACTGTTTTTTCCCCTAACCTGTAGAGACAACATGTTCTGTTTATTATATCCCACAAAAGTACTGAGTTTGTTCAGTCTTTACGGTCTAAGTATATAAACGGTTTAATTAGAGTTGCTCATTTAATTTAAACTCACTGAATTTCATAGACCCTGTGCTGACGGCACCACTTCAGCGTTTTCTTCAGACAACACTTGGCATTTTCAGTAGTTTTCAGCGTTTTCTTCAGACAACACTTGGTATTTTCAAAAGTTGTTTTCCAGTTTCAAATCAAGTTGATTGAACCTGATTAAGCCCAGAGCTTAAACGGTTTGTTGAGTAAAAGTAAGAACTTGTCAGATGTATTTCACTGAAAATTCTGACATGTTTGCTGTCCCTGTCAGATTGACCCAGGTCCGTTCCCCCTAGTTTAGTAAAGTACTGATCAAGTCAGCGTACGTGAGAGATCCTTTCACCTCTGATGTGGTTTCCATGAGATTGTGAGTCTGCACTTCTTCCAGAACTTAGTCTGCTCCTCATCAGCTGCCCCTCAGCAGCTGATGAGTCTCTGAGTTCAGCCTTGCAGGCACAAATGGAATGTGGCAAGCTCCTATTGATGACTACTTGATAAATGTTTGAGCGGTGACTGTGCTGTCAAACCTTTGTCTTCTCAAAATAGCTCCTCCGAATAGTTTCATGCTGCTTTATGAGAAGCACTTGCTGTGGAGTAAAATGTTCATTTAAAGTCGACCAGAAAGATAACCTTTTGTGTGTGTGTGTGTGTGTCCTTTTACCACCAGGCCAAATGTGAGATGGACAGATATCTCTCTCCTCAGTCTCTCTCCCTTCCACCTCCCACAGACGCTCAGCAGAAGTCACAGAGAGATGGTGCCTGTTCTGTGGAGCAGTTTTTCACTGACGATCACAGCGGCGCCCCCTATACCCTCAACATGAATCTGTATCTCCCCGAAGTGGCCTATTTGAAGATGGGTGTGAGTTCGCAGGTGCGGCCGCAGCAGCACCAGAGCCACGTGGCTCTCACCCAAATAAAAACAGAATCCGTCTCCCCGTGTTTCTCCCCTAATCTACAGCCTCACTGCCCCAACACTTCGCCCACCAGTAGCTGCAGCACCTCTGGACACGCTGGCATTGACATGGAAACCATGACGCTATCGGGGCTACCAGACTTCACCAGTGTTTTCAACCAGTCTGGAGGCAGCCAGGCTGGGGAGTCAGGGCCGGAGGTGTTCGTCAAACAGGAAATGACATCACCGTTTGAACAGCATTCTCTTCACCACCATCATGACAACAGCAACTCACTGTTTCAGCTCCTGAACTCAGGTTTGGACCACCCCCACGGTCTGGAGATGCAGCAACAGCAGCAGCAGATACAACACACTTCCACAATCCACACACCTTTCCAAGAGCTCCCCGTAGTTTCCTCCACATCTGCACAGACGCACACGAGCAAAGCCTCTTACTGTGGTCTGGGTGGAGAGGCCTTCCCTCATCCTCAAGCACACCCTCATGATCTCCAGCAGCAGCAGCAGCAGCAGCAGACTCCGTACCTGCCACCCTCTCCGCCCAGCTCTGAACCCGGCAGCCCTGACAGGCAGAAGGAGCTGCTCCACACCATGTCTCCTCCTCCCTCGTACGCAGCCACCATCGCCTCCAAGTTAGCGGGTGGTAGCACCCCTGGACTCGCCCCGGGTCAGGGACCAAGCAGTTTAGCTCTGCCACTCACTTCTGCTCCGACCCCGGTCCAAAGTCAGGCTGCGGTCCTCCCACAAGCCCCTGCTGTAACCCAGGCTCCAGCTCCTGCCCAGACCACAGTGCCTGCCCGCTACAGCCGGAGGAACAACCCAGATTTGGAGAAGCGACGGATCCACCACTGTGATTACCCAGGTTAGAACAATAGCACCGTCCTACTACTGTATGCATGCTGCATGTTGGGTCTTGCTGCCACTGTTGTGTGATATTTTTACTCTAAGCTGCGGTCAGGTGAATCCCAGGTCAGTGACAGAGGTCAACTGTCAAAAAAAAGTGTTATTCTAAAATACCTAAGTGTATTTGTTTGGAAAATGATATGTTGCGTCTTCTGAAAGACTTTCCTCGGCCTCTGAGTCACAGTGTGGCTTGTGGCCACAGCAGAGAACAGGCTGCTCTGGAATTTGAACATTTTTTGGCCGTCACCTTGGGTCAATTAAATGTCTGTACATTTATTACCAAACAAAAGCAAAGAAAAACCAGCGAACACACAGTTGCGGCTTTAAAGTCATCGCTTATATAATTGTGGAATGGAGTGTTTATGTGTGGAAGTGTTAATTACATAGATCTTCTTAAGTAATTGGATTGTGTTTATTGGAAGTGTTAATTACATAGATCTTCTTCTTAAGTAATTGGATTGTGTTTACGTACACACACACACTTGTCAGAGTATAGATTATGTGTTTAGACTACACACACACATATACAGGCCGGTACTGTAGCAGTGATATGATGTGCAGCTACTTGCAGGATACGGAGTGGCAATTCCCCCGCGGCAGTGTGTAAAAAAAAAAAAGACTTAAGCGGAGCCTCCTACAGCGTGTTTGAACACGTTTAATTTCTTTAAAGTCAGATGAAGTTGATTTGTTGTATCCACACAAAAACCGATCCACACTTTGCACAGGACAGATTTTAATTTCCCGGTTTACTCTTTTATAATTAAGGAAAAATTAACAATGTTTAGAATGTGATTTATCCCAAAAATGTTCCCTGATTAATAGGAACATAACAATTTGATTTCAACAAATCACAGCCTCTTATGTTAAACAGTGAATTTCCAGTGAACTCTTCTGTGATTATGTCAAATCTGAACATCTTTAACTTACAAAAACACTGGGCAGACCAAAGTTTTTTTTTCATCAAAACCACATTGATTTTAATGAAAATCAGATCACTATTTGTTGTTTTTTTTTTTTTTCCTACGAAACCAAATCATTTACTATATTTCACGACAAACAGCTTCTGCTCTTCATTAGCTGGGATGTCTAGCATACCACAGCTCAGTTTTACTGGGGTAAATACATATCTGGCTCCTGTGAGTTATTCCACTTTGGATTCAGCCTCATGTTTGTGTTTGTCTCCCTGTGTGTCTTCAGGCTGCAAGAAGGTCTACACCAAGTCATCCCACCTTAAAGCCCACCTCAGGACCCACACAGGTACGACGTTCTTCTCAGTTTTAGTATTTTTATTTATTTTTTTTGTCATGAAAATGACGCCACCTCTGCAACTCGTATTTCGGTATCAGCGCTGGCACCGTGTTGCTGGGCAGAGTCTCGTGTTCTTGGCATGTGCCTGTAAATGTATCCCACCCCATTCCCATCCTCTGCCCAATATACTATTCCATCAAAACAGGTGGAAGTGACACACTTCTGCCAGCGGATGACTCTCGCACTATGTGGCCAGTGTGAGGACATGTGGTGCCATGTCCTCCAGGATCAGTTTGCCTGTTCAAACATATTTGTTTTTAGTCACTTTGAGACACTTTTCACAGACCGGTCAGGCTTGTTTTGACACCTTTCAATCAAAGATAATCTGATCAGTTAATCCTCCACTTCACTCGTCATCGTCTGCTTTCAACGCCTCATTACCATCTGTCTGGCATTCAGAAGATTCTCAATAACTGTTTTATTAATCACTTCATTGGAACTGAGGTTGTACCCATACAATTTTCCACAAATAAGTAGTACAAGTATTTTCAATGTTGTACTTGCAGGTGGTACGTAGAGCCCTGTGGTTTGATAAGGCAACATTAACCCAGACCACAGTGAAGAAGAAAAATATTTATAGCCAGTTATTTGTTAATTTTACCAAAAAGGAAGCTAATAAAATCTGAAAGATTAGGAAAAAACTTCACCACATGAGACATTTCATCAATAAAACTCAAGATGAAATATAATAAATAAAGGTTATATTTAAAAATAATTTTTTTGTACAGCTACTACAGCCAGTTGAACAGAAAGTGAGCAGAGCTTTCTAACTGAGAACCATGTTAACTGTGTCAATTCAGTTGGAGGATCATCACATGTTTTTGAGTATGTAAGTATGAGTTACTTAAGTAAGTGTAATAGTAAGAGTATGTAAGTATGAGTTACTTAAGTATAAGTAAGTGTAATAGTAGGAATGAGTATTTGAATGAATTGCCGTACCGATATAATTAATCTAATTGGGCCTGATGTCGATGATGTTAATGTTACTGGTAATAAATGAAACTATTTGGAGCATTCAAGTGCTGGGCTCCACCTCTGCCATCGTTGATGTGAATTCATTCCTGGCTCATTATGGTGCAGCCACAGAAGTCGACCTCGGCTCTTTTGATCCAGTGTCGTCTCTACCTATTGGGCCCGAACACGGCGCTTGCAGCATTTGTTGTGGATGTAATTTTCATGCATGTCGGCGCTTGGAACATGACACGACAATTAGACCCGGCATCGCTCGTGCTGCAGGCTGATTGTGGTTGTTGCACTTATCACAGACCACAAAATGGAAACACAACACGACGCAGAGTCGACGTTGCAGCAGCTTCCATATATTCCCTGTCTGTGTTGGTCAGTTGTTTTTTTTGTTTTTTTTGCTCCTGCGACATTTATTCGTTTCCTCTGCGTTTGTGCCAGCCTTCCTGCCACTCCACCACCTTCACCAGCTACTCCTCCCCTGTCTCTCTGTCTGTTTCTCCTTTTCTTCAGCCACTGTGACGCTCGCACGCACGCACACACACAGACACGTCCACACACTCACACACCTGTCAGTAATCTGTATGAGATGATTCCTAATGCCTTCGAGTCCCAGTGGGAGTTCCCACTCTAATCTCCATCAACATCCATTACCCCGATTGTTTGTGTTTCTGTCTGTCTGTTTGTCTGTGTTGTGGTGTGTGTTTGTGTGTGTGTGTGTGTGTTTGCCAGTGTGTGTTGTGATACAGTGAGTGAGGAATCTTCTGAGCGTCTCTTGTCATTGTCTCTCCTCTGTGTTTTGGTTTTTGACTTGATGACACACTGTTGCTGTGACTGTTAGTATTTAGGGAAGTTTTTTACACACCTTCCTGTCAAACTGTCCAATACATGACATCAATTATTGTTATTTTTCTGGGTTAAATTGAATTTGAATTGAACTTTTATTTCACTCAACTTCTAAATATGACAATTTATAAATATTTAAAAAGTATTGGCCCGTCATTTAACATCAGGAAAATAAAGGAGGCAGTCAGTGAAAAAAATGTTACTGATGCAGAAAAATATTTTAAAAACCCTGCGTTGGCATTGATGTGAAATATTCAAATTCCAATCCTCTTCACATTACACGTAGATTTTAGTAAATAATCGTGTAGTATCTGTTAAATATAGATATAAAAGAATATTAAAGTATAACCTTAGTAGTGATGTCACGTATTGTTACTCTGTCATTGTTCCAAACATGTCCTCTGTTTTTAAACCATTCATGAAACAGAAGCGTTTGAAGTGTTTGTCACACAACTGGATTTCGAACCACCAACTCTCCAGTTCCAAACCCAATCATTCGTCCACTGTTCCACAGTCTGCCAGCTCAACAATGGGCTTGCCCAACATTAGATGAAAATAATTTTTGAATGCAGGACAAAGGAACTTTTTACCTTGAAATTAGCATTGATTGAAGTACATTTTAACTCTTTAACCTTTTCAGGCAACTGGGATTACTAAAGGTCTTCTTTACCCATAATGCAAAGCGGTAAACGGGATATAACTTTTCAGTGAGGGATTAAGAACTGTCACCTTGATATGCATTCTAAATCACATATAGATCTGACTACTTGACAAACTGCAGAGTGAATTTCAGCACAGGTGACAGGTGAATGTTGTATCTGCACTTGTCTTAAGATGGACCTGAAACCAACTGGTCTCACTAGTTTTTATCACCGTCGGCCGCAATCCGTGGGAACCTTGTGCTGCATTTGGTGATGAATGTCTGAGTGTTTATGGTGATAGACAGCTGGATTTTTCTGAAAAGCCTGTTCTCCCAGTTTCTCCACCCCACCGTGTGTGTGTGTGTGTGTGAGTCACGAGTCTTGTGGGGAATTGTTAGTGTCAGTTTTAATAGTAATCAGTTCCTTCAGTGCCTTTTAATCAGAGCTCGACACTGCCTCCTGTGTCACGTTAAAAAAACCTTGAATTAACTCACACTGTGCTCATCGTGGATTGTAATTTTTTTTTCTTTTGTCTCCGTGCAGGTGAGAAGCCATACAGGTGCACATGGGACAGCTGCGACTGGCGCTTCGCACGTTCCGACGAGCTGACGCGTCACTACCGGAAGCACACGGGCGCCAAACCCTTCCAGTGTGTGGTCTGCTCCAGGGCCTTTTCCCGATCCGACCACCTGGCCCTGCACATGAAGAGACACCAAAACTAGCAGCTACATACACACATACACACACACACGCATACACACACACGCCGACATCACACGAGCGCTACCCTGACTTTTACCCTGAGCTCTCTGTCTCCGTCACCAACGTTAGGAGCTGCCAGATTTCAGCAGCTTTCTCACAGACGAAACAGCTCCCCCTGGTGCTCCTATCGTGTGCAAAAAAAAAGGTACGGTAGCCTCGAAAAATCGTGTCCCTCCATACCAGGAGCAAGTGAGGGAAGATTTTCTAACCTAGAAGGCATTCTGGTCGTTCAACCTCCAGGATAAACTTGTTTTTCTTTGGAAAAAAGGCAAAGAAGAAAACTAGTAAAACGGTAGCTTCCAAAGTTAAGTCTCCAGTCCGCTTGAACTTTTGCGCGTGACTGGAATAAAAAGCACTAACCGACTCCAAACTTGTACATCCTTTATTTTTTTTTTCTCCCTCTGTTCTAACATAGAACTGACTGTGTTTTTTTATATATACAAAGAGGAAGCTCTTATTTGCAAAACTAGTCAAACCAAATCTTCATTTGTTTACTCTGTGGTTTGTTAGTCTCTCGATGTAACTGGAATAGCCAGATTTTTTAAAATTGTTTTTACGAAAAAAAAAACAAAAAACAAATCCTTTGATTTGCACTAGAATCCGTGTTTTAAGTCTGAGCCTGTGTTTCTTTTCACCACTGGAGCGATGGTTGTTGTTATCACGGCTGGACTGAATCTCCACTAATCATCACTGTCCAGATATTAAAAATTGAAGGCATTTATACCCTGGAGAGATGGATGATACTGAGTGTGTGTATGTACATGTGTGTATGGGTGTGTGTGTGTGTGTGAAGGAGAAAGAGACGGAAGGATTTTTAGATTTTAGGGCGAGGAGATGTGAGGACGAGCAAGAAGCAGAGGGCGGGTGGATGGTTTACTAAAGAGCAGCAATTAGGGTGATGAATTATTCAGGTGGTGTTTGGATGGATTTCCAGCTGGAGAAATCTGAGCAGAAGTCGTGGACGTTATCTCAGAATTCATTCACTTAAACAGAACTGAGTGTGTTTGAAGCCCAGGCTTAGGCAGAATAACCATTTACTGCACATTTGTGTTTTTTTTTTTTTTTGTTTTGTTTTTTTTTCTTTCCCCCGATCTTTCAACCAAAGCATGGTCTTTAATCGTCGACATCTTCTTAAGTGCCTCCTCCTCCTCCTCTGGTTTGGTTCAGCACTTCAGCAGAGCTCTGACGGACGTGGACAGTCGCACACATGGTGCTGTTTCTCAGTTCTCAACCCGTAGTTGGTGAAAAAAAAAAGTCTTCTTCAAACGTGTGTCTTCATCCATCATTTAACCTAATGTATCAGCTCAGCTCAGGCCGCTTCACCCACGCATCATCAGTCAGGCCTTTCTCTGAGGGTCCAAAGTCTGTAGGAAAACGTGCTCGTTGGGGTTCCCAAGCATCCTGGACATCCTGGAAACCTTTTGGGGGCGTGGGGGGGGGAGTCCTGGAAATGCTTTAGGTTATCTTGGAAAATGACCACGGCTGTTGTCACGGTGTCTTCATTGGGCAGAACGGAAGCAGGTCTGCCCCAATCTGCCGCCACCAGCCAACCTTATCTCCACGTCAGCTCAGCTTCAGCTTCCAGTTTTCATTTGACTTTTTGGCTGAATTTAGCGACTTTTTCAGACTTGATTAGGACTTGAGGCCTACAGGGACGTCAAGCCGTCTTCAGGCTCCTCCACGCAATTTTTTTTTCAAATTTTTTTTATTACAAAATGCTAAAGTTAATGCTGAAGAAGGTTACAGTTTTCAACTCATTAGGAGGAAGCAGGAATAGTTACAGTGAACAGTCTGACCTGATCACTGGTCTGAAACGATCACTGGTCTGACACAGTCACTGGTCTGACACGGTCACTGGTCTGACACAGTCACTGGTCTGACACGGTCACTGGTCTGACACAGTCACTGGTCTGACACGGTCACTGGTCTGACACAGTCACTGGTCTGACACGGTCACTGGTCTGACACAGTCACTGGTCTGACACGGTCACTGGTCTGACACAGTCACTGGTCTGACACGGTCACTGGTCTGACACAGTCACTGGTCTGACACGGTCACTGGTCTGACACAGTCACTGGTCTGACACGGTCACTGGTCTGACACAGTCACTGGTCTGACACGGTCACTGGTCTGACACAGTCACTGGTCTGACACGGTCACTGGTCTGACACAGTCACTGGTCTGACACGGTCACTGGTCTGACACAGTCACTGGTCTGACACGGTCACTGGTCTGACACAGTCACTGGTCTGACACGGTCACTGGTCTGACACAGTCACTGGTCTGACACGGTCACTGGCCTGACACAGTCACTGGTCTGACACAGTCACTGGTCTGTCAGGCTGCAGCAGCTACAAATGTCCTGGACGATGAGGGGCTGTGATCTCTGCTAATGCAGCTCCATCAGTCGGTGGAACTCAGATTGTTACTTCCTAAAGGATAGGTTCACATTTTTATCCACAAAAAAAAAAAAAAATTCACATTTTCGTTTGAACAATACTTTACTGCTGTCTGGCAGAGACTTGAAAGAGACTTTTTTTTAAATTATAAAATTAAAAAATCATATTTTCTTTTGACTTTTTGTGATCCTAAAGGGCCAAATTCTTTTTTTTTTTTCCTGTTCCGTTGAGATTAGACATAAATGTAAACCTACCCTTTAATACTAATACTATTCACCGTCCATGGTGGTGTCGTGGTTTTTCAGGCTGAACTAATAACTGTATTTGTTCATTCACTGCTGGTAGCATTCAAATAATAATAATAATAATGATGATAATGATGATATAGCACTGTAATAATCTATTTATTTGATTGTGTACAAACAGGGGTTGTAATCACATCAACCATCTTTCTCCCCAGCAAAGAAAAATGCCTTAATGTAAATACATGCACTGTAAATAACTTGATTTACTTTATGGTTTTTTTTTCCCCCTCTTTTGATATTATTTTGTAAAACAAAAGGGCGAAAACAACAAACCTAAATAGAACGCCCCGCCTCCAAAAATATTTGAGCCTTTATTCTTGTTTGATTCTTTGTTTCAAAGATTGTTTTATATCTGATGTCCTTCCAGCAACTTATTTTATAAATCCTTGTTTCCTCTTCTGTAGTAAACGTTCCAAAGACAAAAGTTGTTGTTTTTTTCAACTGAGTGAAGCTGATCTTAATAAAGTTAACTGACACTTTTACACACCTGCTCCTAATGGTATGTTTTTTAAATCCAGGGTTTTTTTTTATGTTGTTTTTTTATCGGAGACAAATCCTTTATGAATGAAACAAATGAGACATCACTGCGGCTTCACAGTCTGGCATTTATTGGCCCTGATATAAAATGAAATTTCAGGCGTAATGAGACGACGAGGAGCTAAAAAACTGCTCCTCAACCTGCCCCTAACCTGCAGCAGCCTCACTGGTCAACAAACAATAGGCCTTTGATATCACAGCATGAGACAATGGACAAGAAAATAAATCTGACCACCGCTCCAGGACCTGGGGGGAATCCCACTGTACTGAAATGCATGAACTTACACACACACACACACAGACACAGAACAGACGACACAGAGCATATGTTCTTGGTTTGAGTCATAAATGTGACCCCTGCTCTCTGCTCTAATCCACCTCCTCTCCTTCATGTCCTCCTGCTCCAGTCTTCTTATTTAATTCTATTTCTCTCCCTGTCTCTCCCTCACTCCTGTCTTTGTGTTTCCACGCACCGTGTCCCGCCAACTTCTCCTTCACCTCCTCCTCTCGGGTGGAAAGTTTTATATGAAAGTCCAGGGGGCGCTCCGTGCTCCGTGGGTCAGAGTGGAGACTGTTCTCATAACCTGCTCCGCTGCTCAGTCCTCACGTCTTCGTCCTTCGTCCACTTCAGTCGTGCACCTTGTCTTTCTGGACGACTTCCCTGCTTCTCCATCATCATCATCATCATCATCATCATCTCACTCGAACACACAGATAATTATTTTTCACATGGTTTCAGTTCAAAAATCAGTCCACGAAATGTATGGACCATCGTACTGTTTCTCACACACACACACACACACTGTCCACATAAACACACACTGCGGTGATGAGTGAGTGGGAGCTACCGGTTCATGTTTTGGATCAACTAAATTAATGTCACACATCTGGAAGAAGGCTCCTGACTGCTCCACCCTCCGCTGTGCTGCGTTGGTGTGATTCCCAGTTTACATTTGTGTCTGTGTGTGTGTGTGTGTGTGTGCATGTGTGTGTGCGTGTAGGTGTAATGTTTCCAGTGCTCTTCTCTTGGAACGGACCACCCACTCAGTAGAGCAATAGAGTGACCACGGGGAGCCTGGACGGACACACACTCACACACACTCACACACACACTGTTTCCCTCCAAAGTCGACCGTATTCTCAGAATAGAACATGTTGTTATCAGAGATTGAAGAGATACCAGAGCAGCTGACATGACTTTCAAAAGTGGAAAAATAACTGCAGAATTTAAGGAGGCTTCTTTTGTCTCCCTGAAAACATTCTGTTTCGTTTGGCAAAGTCTTTCCAGTCAGGTGAACCGCAGCGTCGGGTGTTCGAATCCAACGCCACTCGTTGCCAACCTGTTGATGCCCGTATGCAACATGTGAAATGTAAAATATACAGTAAGTCTTTAAAATCCAACATTTTATTGAAATCCAACCACAGTCAGGATAGACTCTAGATAGGCAGGAGAAGAGTGGTGTCTGTTTTGGCCAGACAGAACAAAGGTCACTGGTTCAATTCCTACCTTCTGCATAGGGTTCTCTCCAGTTTCCTCCTGCAGGATCATGTTTACTGTTCACGCTAAACTGACCAGAGGTGTGAATGGTAGTGTGAATGGTTGTGTCTGTACGAGGGTCAAAGACGTCGCCTGTCTTTGTCTGATGGCTGCTGGGGTTGAAACGCTAGAAAAATGGAGACAAACATTGTCCTAATTTGTAGAATGTTCTGGAAATCTTAAATATTTAATTTCAGTGTCCATCAACATCAGTCTGTTTATTGAACCAATTACCAGAAACGTTGCTGTTTAAAGGTTTTAAGTTTCTATGGTGATGTAATGGACTCAAACTGTTTCATTAGGCACAGGAAATAAATCAAAGCGTGTCGAGTGTTTTCACTGACAAACCTGGCGCGGAAGCAACTTTATCATTAAGGAAGTGAGTAGCTGTGTTATTTTTGATTTTTGTAATTGTTGCAAAGACGCCATTTATTATTTTTTTTTGTCTTATTTTTATTTTTTGTCTTTTTTTTTTTGAGGAGATTGAACTCTTCAACAATCTGTGGCTTCTGTTGTCTGATTTATCGTTTTTTTTTTGAGGAGATTGAACTCTGTGGCTTCTGTTGTCTGATTTATCTTCACTCAGTTAATCATGACTCAGCGATTTTTTTTCTGCTTTGTCATTGTTGTTACTCACGCTTAAGTTTTTTTTTTTTTTAGGTTTGGAACAAACTAAATAGACTATAACAAACACAATTGTTTTGTTTTTTTTTTTGCTCTCAGGTAAAGAACAGTGTCGGAAAACAAGGTGTAGTTATGGAAAAAAAAAATCTTTAAAAAAAGAAATCCAACTGTCAGGAAGATCCCAGAAATGCTTTGAACCCATGTCGTAATCTTTCATAATCTGACAGAGTGCCCTGACATAATGACGGCCTGAGCCAAACGCTCTAAAACAGTTTCAGCTGCAGCTGCTCTGAAGGGTGAAGTCTTGTTTTACTCACAGTCACAAGTTGTTTCCTGCATTTTGTTTTTTTTTTTGTTGTTGTTGTTGTTTTTGTTGTCATGTGAAAGCACAACAGCCAGGTTTCAGCTCTCACCGCGTTTCCACGTTATTCCACGATGACTAAAGGGAGTGAGGTGACGCGGCCTGTGAATACGTCGACACCCGTGCCGACAAAGGAGCGTCCATAAGGACATTGGGTCCATCTAGTCAGAGGTTGTTATGATAACCCCGGGTCAACCGGAGGAGAGTTATTCCCTGGGTGGGTGCCTTTTACATGTACGACAGGTTCAAAGGTCACAATCGTTTGACTGTTCTCCGTATATATATATTTGCACCTGAGAACAGCTCAGGTACCCACTCCCCGAGTGGGTTCTTCAGAGAATTCTTCTGCTCTCACACTTGAAATGTGTAGGTGGAGAGGCTTCCTGTGACGTTTCACCATGATTTAGTGAAAACAGAGAGGGGTCTTTGGCTCTGCACGGTCCACCTACACCCACTGTTTGCTCACACTTTACTCCTCCCTGACCAAACAGCTAATACTTTCCTTTTGTTTTTCCCTCTCACTAATACTTTCCTTGCTTCACAGCTGAGATTAGATATGATGTGAATTTTTCTCTTTGTTAAGTTGACAGCACAACAATTGAAAACTCACAGGTCCAGTGTGTGTACAACCAGAATGAACTGTGAACTGAGAATACTTCTTGTTGCACTTTTGCAAGATTTAAAAAGAAAGAAAAATGTATTCGTACCTTCTATAAAAAGACTTGAGCTGTTCAACCGTCTCCAGACATTATCTGTAGGAGACAAGTCTGGAAGTCTGGAGTATGTAATAAAACTGTGCAGTGAATGCACCAGAGTCAGTTTTCTGGAAGTCTGGAGTATGTAATAAAACAGAGTCAGTTCTCATCTTTGAATGATGGTGAAGCACCAGAAACGAACTAAAATAGTCCTGAGTCCATGAGACTATACCCACAATGGAATGTCCTCTATGGCAGGGGCTTCAAACCATGGGGTCGGGGACCAGTACTTGGACGTGGATTGTTTTGTACTTGGCCGCACAGTCAGAAAAAAGTTAATTTATTTAAAAAAAAATCAAAGTTAGTCTCCTTGGCGTTTTATATAAAGGTCAGAAAAAGACATTTTTCTATGAGTAAAAGGTCCATTTATTATAGTTCACGGCCAATCAGAGCATCGTCGACATTTACATGTGCTGACTAAACCAACACACATACGGTGAAGAGAAGCTAGTGCTAGTGGTACCCCAATATGTGGCTCGTGGTCCAGATGCAGACCAGTGGCCCCCGTTTGAGAGCCAGTGCTTTGAAGGATGCTGCTTTGTATCTAACCTTAACTTGGTTAACTCGGTTAACGTGGTTAACCAGGTACTGAGAATCAATATATACTGCGTATCTTAACACAACGACAAAAGTACTTTGGTTGTACTTTTTGTGAATCAATTCGTGTACTTTTCATGCACTAATTTCTGAAGAACACGCAGAAAATTTCCCCTTTTTTCCCCCTTTGCGAAGCAACACGATACTAACATGACTTTATTCAATTGATTAATAAGAAATATTTGATCAGATATGAAATGTTTGTAAATGGGAATCTGAGAAGGTCAGAGAGACTCTCTGAGCTCTGAGGAGAATTACTGCAGTACCAGGTCAACGACTCGTCACTCAGTACGTCCATAAGTCGACCCGGACCTGCGGCCCGACTGAGCCGTCGACCGTCTAGAGTTTCGCTCTGAAGAACCAGTTTGCTCAGTTGAAACTCAAATCTCCATGAGGAAACATTTAGTTCTTGTCAAAACAAGTAAAACCCACGGTGAAAAAAGACTGTGCTTATTGTTTCGTTTGTTTTCTAACGATGATTGCTCTAAAACAAGTGTAATTTCAAACTTTAGTCCCAGTGAGACGGTACTGATGGGAGAGATCACTCGGGCCGTTTATAAGTTGATGTGAATCAGTTGAAACATACTTCAGGGGGATCATAAATCAAACTGTATCCTCCGCTGAGCAGCAAAGAGACATACTTTTTACATTATGAGAAAGTTCAAGGGCTGAAACTGAACATTAGAACCTCAGAAAATTATATTTCTCACACTGACAATCCCCCAAAAATGCGAAGAAATAACTGTCGTATCAATAAATGATGATCAACTAACACATTTGTTTGGTTTCCTAATTTTCGATGTGTTAGATATGAATACCAAATTGCCTTTTCTGTGATTTATCTGAAGGTGATTAATGTATGGAGTGGCGCCCTTCACCTCCACACTGCCCCCTGCCTGTGTTATCTCATTTGCTTTTGAAATCACAAAATGGTACCAGGTGCAAAAAAAAGAATAAAAAGTTTGAATCCAGTTTGAGGGTTTGGTTGATATAAATCAGGCACGTTGGCAGCAGTGCACCTGAGGTGTTCATAGCCACCCCTGCAGGGAGAGTTGGACGCTGCATGTGTCCCAGGTTTAACCCCGAACTCCTGCTTCGTCTGCATCTTTTGAATTTCCTTTGAGCCGCGAACGTGTTAAAGAAATGAAACAGCATTAAAACAAAACCACAGAGACATTTTTTTTTTTATCTCCGAACACAGATTGGAGACAATAACTGGTTGGTGTGTGGCACTGGTCCAGATCTCAGAAGTCAGCTCAGGTTCTGGTATGTCCTCCTTGTTTTATGTTTTATGTGAGCGTTTCCTCCCACAGTGCAAACACCCACTGACTGTGTGAAGACCAGAGAGAATCTCAGGTGCATTCAGCCAAAGTACATACATTAACCATGTTTACAACGCTGTGAAGTCGATTAG